GGTTCTCAGTTCAGGGGGACAGGGTGCTGCTTGGCTGTGGGAAACACTTGACATTGCCCAGTAACTGTGGTGCTGAGGAAATAATATTCCACCATCTCCTTAAGATTTCCAATCTCTTATTTCTCTACAGAACATAGAATTCTCCACTGTTCTTGGAGGAATTTTCTCAACACCTAACAACCTTGTCCTCCGCAACAGTCAGACACTAGGGTACTAAGGTGAGTAAAGCACAGTGCATCCGTTCAATAGGACACGGATTGTTGTGGCAAAGTGGAACAGCTCAGTGCCATAGCCAAATGTTACAACTCAGTGCACAGCCAAGGGCCATAGCTCTGAGGCACAGCTGAGTATTAGATCTCAGTGTTATAGCTCTGGGTCGTGGCTATCACATTTTGAAGACTCAAGAACCCGATGATCACTCCAAGAGGTAGAGAAAAACCTTTATTATGCCAGAAGGCTCAGAGGGGTTTGTACTCTGAAGTCTGAGTGCTCTACCAGAAATGACAGCCTCCTTATAGGTAGGCAAGCATGCTCACTGAAGCAGAGGGGCGGAGTTACAGAACATTCCTGAAACACATGCCGCTGAGCATGCTCACTGAAGCAGGGTGGGGAGTGGATTTACAGAACATTCCTGAGAGGGACAGAGCTAACAGAACCTTCCAAAAAGGTCACGCAGTTCAAACAGTCACAGAACATTTTGACACATTGAGCGGGAGGCTGTCCAGCAGCACAAACTGTTACATTCCTGGAACAAAACATTTTGTGGAGAAAAAAAAAAACATGGAGGCAAGGGCCTGTCTCATTGTAATATTGCTGTACCAGGACATCCCTTAATATCGCATGGAATGGGTTCCAGGGCCCCTGCATATGCCAAGGTCTGCTGATACTCAAGTTCCTCATGTAAAGTGACACAGTATTCCATATAATCTACACACCTTCTTAGTCCTCTGTATACTTTAACTCCTACCTCAACTATTTATAATACCTAATGCAATGTAGATGCCATGTTCATTGTGGGCACACTATGTAGGTCAGAGAATAAGGACAAGAAACAATTTGTACATATTTCAAGTTTTGTCCAGTTGAATGTTTTCAGTCTGTGGCTGGTTGAATACACAGGTGAGTTACCTGAGGATGCCAAAGGCCAACTGTACTATAAACCCCTAAATCATTTTTAAGAATATGGAGCTCTGCCTGCAGTACACTAAGTACACAACTGTACCACAGTACAATTCTGGCTATATAACAATGTACTGTACTGTGTGTTTGTGTATGCAGAAAAATATACCAAAAATATTATGAAGTATGAAATAACATATTTTCCCTTATGCATTGTAGGCATTCCCAATTTTATTCAATTAATATCATTTTAGTGATTAAAATCACTATATACGTGAAGGTAATTTTTTTTAAACTAAGATTGCATGAAGTCTAAGCAGTAAGTCAACCTGCAGTGGAACATATTTCAAGAATCCATAGAAAAACATTTAACTATACTCAGAAGGTGAGAATTTTATACAGGTGGATTTTTCCAAGTTTTAGCTGCTTCTTTTAAAAATGTATTAAATTCCCTTAATTCACTAAGTACTTATCAAGAATCTTCAAATAAGACTGGAACAGAAATACAGAGAAGAAAGGAAGGCAGACCACAAGAATTTTTAATGTATGCTATGTACCTGATACTTTCAAATTCACATTTCTCATCTCCTTAAAGTACTCTTTAAAGTAGGGAACATTTATCTTCATGGAAAAAACCCACAAGGAACATTAAGAAGAGACAAAGAACACAAAGATTATTAAGTCACAGAATCTTTTAGAGCCCACTCAAGTTGTTCTTTTAAACCTGGGCCTGCACATATTTTTATGGTTACCTAAGAAAATGTGAGATTTTTTTTCCTTATGCAAAATTCTTTTTCTATTTAATGTATTTTCTCCGATTTAAAGCTGAGAACTAATCTTTGAAGACTTCATTTATTATAATGCTGATAATATCTTCTATGAAGTTTCTAGGGAACTTGTTTCTTTGCTTTTTTTCATTTTCTCTAGAACAGTATAAAGTACCTATTACACTTTACATAAATTAGCACATTTAATCCAATGAAGGGACTACTTTATTGAATTCCCTCTTTCTGAGAATCTATGACTTGTTAAACTTGGGTAAATTTTTAGGAAGTCCTTAGGTAATAAAGTTTGCTTTAACTTTGGCCCTTCTAATCATTTGCATAGACTGTAAGAAATGCAAGTCTTTCTTACTATTACAGCTTCAGTAAACCGAAAGTTACCCAGTTGGAGAGTATCGAAGCCTTTCGGGAGTGCCTGGGTTGGGGTCTGTAGTGATTGCTCATGTGATTGGCTGTGGTCCCCATCGGTCCCCGTGCAGGCTTACTAACTTATTTCTGCCTGAATGGAATTAGACTCTATTGTGAAAGGACTCACTTGGTCAAAAGGGAATTGTGAATGCCATTCAGTGGTGAGCAACTCGATTGCTGGGGCAGTGTCTGACGCACACGGTACACAATGGATGGTGCAGTACAACTGAAAGGGAGAGTGTGGCATAGCCCTGGAAATTAACTATCTGCTGGGATTAAGTTTTTCCATAACACTAAAATGGCTCAGGAATAACACTTCTTTTCATTTCTATGTGTACAATTTTAGAGGAGATAGTGTGCATTCTCCACTCTAATTTAGACCACTGGAAAGGAATAAATAATGAAGGACTGACATATTTGTTTTGTGTCTACTAAGCCTATCCATTAAAATAGATTTATCTGCACCATTTCCCTTAAATTGCAATCATGCCCTCGTTTTACAGCAATTTTCTGTATTTTGTGAAATTATGTCCCAGAAGCTTAACAGGACTTGGGTTGCATTGCTCCACCAGGTTAGCAGCGTGGACAGCTGGCCATTTCTTCCAGATATTGAGAGCTCAATCTTATCTGTATCCCAAACTTGGATGGAATACAATTTATCCACTCTGTAGTCACAAATGTAATGTTATGCATATATGTTGCTCACTCAAAAATTCCGCTCTAAAATGAGCTTCTCAATATTCAGTTCCTTAAAATGCAGATGAAATTGGTGTTTGTCTCACAGCTACTTATTACAGCAATTTTGATAGCTTCACTCAATTTGGAGTTGGATGAATAACTATTTGCTATGGATTCTGACTCAGAAAGGTTTATTTTTAAATACAATCTTATGTATGTGCAAACATGGAAACTTTTTAAACATTTGTCTTGTTTGGTCATTTCAGGCTCATCTTCTATATGCTGTGCATCATGTTCCCTAAGAAGAATTTATAATATGTGATTTCAATTCTTACCTCTTGCATCTCCATTATTTGCTAACAATGTAACAGCTCCAATTAACAAAATAGTTTAATTATTCAAGTAAGCTTTGTTAACTGCTTTTAAAATGTTATTTTGTTTTTTTAATTACAAGAGTATATTATTGCTGTAAACAATAAAAACAGCCATACTGTATACATAAATTCAAATATAGAAATTGCCCCCATTCCCAACTTCGGCCCCTAGAGAAGTCAACACTCTTTAAGTATCCTTGTATATCCTTTTTGAGATTTTTCACATTTATAAAACATATATGTAAGGAAAATCACAAATTTGGTTACACATGTGAATTACTGTGCAATTCGGTTATTTTCACCAGAGAAAAGAGACCGGAGCTGTTTCCCTAGTAGTGCACACAGCTACTCACTTGATTTTTCAAACCACCGCCCCCTCCGGGATGGATTTGGATTTGACTGTTCTCCACTGAGGGACATTTAAGTTGTCTTTGCCGTTATTAAACATAATAATATTAAAGTGTTTCAGTGAACTCATTTATGTGATGTAGACCGTAGAAATGGAGGTCGTTTTGGCAGATATTTCCAAGCTGCCTTCCAAAAGCCTGGACTTCTCCACACCCTCCCCGTGACAAGCAGGCCAGCGCTCCACTTTCCCAGCCTGTACCAGCATGAGATATTTTTGATGTTGTTATTTGTTAGTAATGTTTAACTGTTAATTTAGCTGTGCATTTCCATGCTTTTAGCTTAATGTGTAATGATTTGTGACTGGCATAAAAGGTGGTAATCCTTAACCAGCATGAAGTATTCTGTATTTAACTTGATGGTCTTTATTTTGAATCACTTTTTTTCCTGTTTTGTTACCACTTTCCTATTTTCTTATTCCTTTATTTATAAAGGAATATATTTCATTTATTTATAAATATTTATTTATAATGGCATGTATGTTATTTACAAAGCTAATATGATTGAACTTTGCCTTTTTACATAACTTGTAAGACTTAATTGAATAAATCTGTATTTATTGTGAACCTTGGAATGTTTGATCTTTTTCTTGCCCTTATTTTAAATTTTCTTTATTAAGCTTTTATTCATTTTCCTTCAATTTATAAAAATCTTTTTTTCCTTTCAGTGCATTGACTTAAAAATCTCTTCCTCTCCTGATTTGGAGGTTATATCCCATTTCTGACTCATGTCCTATTTCTCTTTTACTCACATTTCCACCTACACTTTAACAGATATGTTTAAACGCACACATGTGATATGGCTTGTGCCTAGATGTTCCCCAAGGCCTCATGGAGTCTTTTTAGAGAAGACTGAATCTGGAATGTGTGGTGCTGGGGTTAAGGGCATGTGATGACTAAACCACCACATGTGAGTGATTGGCTTGGCACTGCCCTAATCCCAGGAGTCTGGATGGGAAAAAAGGGGCAGAAAGACACTGCTAGAGCCCCTTGTTGCTTTTGCTGTCTTCTGCAGCCATGGACTGTTGCCCCTCTGCCACCCTGCCTTGGAGCCAGCACATTATGGACTGAAACCTCTACAAAGTGTAAGCCAAATAAGCCTTTTCTCCTTTAACTTTAGCTGTTGGGTATTTTGTCTCAGCAAAGAGAGAAAAGCAACTAACACAACATGCATGCATACATACACAGGTGAGTTTTGTTTTGCTACTAGTTTAAATGAGATCCACATACTTATATATTACATAGGAATATTTGGACATTTAATCAATGCTGATAGAATAATTTTTAATCTAAAGGAGGAACTTCATGTGAAACAGTACATGATCATTTGCTACAGTCATCTTCCCCAAATATTAAATAGGACATGAAGTCATGTCCCTAAAATTGTTGATATTGAAATTTTCAATGCATAGTTCGTTTTTAACATTTTTCAATGAAAATCTGTATCGATAATAGCATTACTTTAACCACTTTTATTTTTAGCTATTTTTATTGCTCCTTCAATATATACAAAGTACTTGTAAATTATAGATACAGTATTTTTAAAACTTGCTCTCAAAGTCATTTCTTTAGTATCAATTCATACCATGTGATAATTTTAGATGACAGAATGAACCAGAATGACATCAAAATGCCTGATGCTGAAGGCTGCGATCTTTAAGATCAGCTTTGAAATCCTTAGCAATACTGGGGCAAGAAGATGTGAGGCTGTTAAACAATAAAACCGAATTTGTTTGTCTGAAGCTCAGATTTCAGAAGCCAGATTCTCAATTTGCACCTAAAAGGTATAAAATTATTTTCCAGTTCAAATACCTGCCTGCAAATCTACAGCAGAGTTAAGGAAAACCACCCCACTCACTCACAAACACAGCTGCCAGCCCTGCAACGTTCTCAACCAGCCCTGTCCAACAAGGTGGCCCATGGTCTGCTGAGTGCCTGGCACGGCCCATCTTCAGCCTAAAATGACTGCAAAGGCATGTAAACTCAACCGCTGGACTGCCAAGACTCAGCATGGAAAAAAGAATATAAACTCTCATCAGCAGTCCTTACATCAGCTACTTGTTGAAATGATAGTAAGAGGATATTCATTTCACCTGGCTCTTTGGACATTTCACTGACTACTAGAACATTTTAAATTACATGTGCAGATGGCATCATATTATCTGTTGAACAAATATCTTCTCATTGTCCTTGGATGCACTCAAAAGATGAAATGATATTGAAGTAGTGACTACAAAGGGAATCCCATTTCCCAGATCTGCTGATGTGTAGGGAGGGTGACAGTTCTGGGAATTTGGGGTAGGGATCTCAGCTGGCATTTATAGTGGGTACTTACACACACACACACACACACACACACACACACACGCGCGCGCACGTGCGCGCAGATTCTGCTCTGCTTAGAGTGGGTGTGTTCATTATCATTTTCCTGGAATCGCAGCTGTTCTATATTTGCCACCATTAACAGAAATTCCACAACTTTACCATCTTAGGACAACACAAAGTTATGCTCTCAGTTCTCTGTAAGTCAAAAGTATGGCAGACTCCATGAGTTCCTCTGCTCCAGCTCATTTGAGACTGGAATCAGTGTCAACCAGCCTGGCTTCTTCTCTGCAATCTCTGAACTTCTGCTCAGATTGGTGGCAGGATTCCTTTCCATGACCTGAGGAAGATGCCCATGTCTTTGCTGGCTGCATCCAGGGCCATGGTCAGCTCCTGGCAGCCTCTCTCCAGTCCTTGAACATGGGGCTCCTACCCCTGGCCTGCAAGGGCAGGTCACATCTTTCTCATACTTGGAATCTCTGACTTCCTCTTCTCTCTTCCTCTTCTGCACCAGCCAGGGAACATCCTCTGCTTTTACAGACTCATGCAATTAGACTGAGCCCAGTAGCCTAGGATAACCTCTCTGTCTTCAGGTCGACATCACATCTGTAAAGTCCCTTCCCAGCTGAACACAGATGAGTGCTTGATTGAGTAAGCACAGGGAGGGAATCCTGGAGGAAGATGTTGAGGATTCTGCCTGCCATACTTCCTACATGGGAGACATGCTTGCTGCACTGTGGGAAAGACAAGACCAGTGAGAGGAAGCACAGAAAGAGAAACGGAGTTTGGCTCCAGGAAGGAATTTGGGCCTTTTCCTTGCAGTGGGAATCTACTGGAGGATTGTTTCACAGGGAAGGGATACAACCTAACTTATACTTTAAAATGGATCAACGTGGTGAGGCAGTGCTTCTTTGGCAGTTGTCTCTCTTTCCATCCAGGAGGGTCGTGGTGGGAAAGGGTGTGCTGACCAGAGTTGGCGCGGTCTCCTCTGGAGCCCTGAGTGTGTCTGAGAGTCAGTGGAGAGGCAAAGAGGGGACCTCTCTTCAGACACTACGGGAAGGGAGGTCAGCCTGTCAAAATGAGGTAGGAGGGAAAGATACAAAATAGGGCAGCAGTGAGTATACTGAAAGCACTCACTGCTTTGTCAAATACTCATGCTTCTGAGTAATGTGGCAACTGGAAGTCACCTGTCACCCAATTCATGTCTCAGAAAGCCAGGCCACTATCATCTGCTCCCCAAGTCAGGGACTCTGGTTCCGTTGGTGCAGGACTGGTGTCCACAACCCCTGCAGATGCTAGCTGGTGGCCTGGCCTGAACTGTCCCCTGAGATGTCACCTGGGCCCTATGAACTCACAATACCTTACTTTCTTTAAAAAGGGGGGGGGCTGGTGGTTTTTAAGGGAAGGCTAAATTGCTTATCTGCATACCTTGGATACAAGGGAGCAACTCTGGCCCCAAAGTATGGGGCCCCCAAGAGGAGGGGTCCTTCTCTGGGACTGCAGCCCCAAGCCACACTTGGGGATGAGAACTAGGCTGACGGAAGTGGGGAGTGAGGCTCTGCTCTGGACTCCCTGACTTACACATGCTGTGCTGGGCAGGGAGGGCAGGGGGTGGGGTGGCCCTAGCCATAGGAACCTGGGACCTGCTCCATTTCTGAGCAAAATGAACAAACAGCTCAGACACCCAGACCTCTGGCCTAGGTGAGTCCCCTCAGCACCAGGCTCTGTGCTCTCTGAGCTTGCACCCAGCCGTTGCCAGCCAGCTTAACTCCAGCGCACCTTAGGTGGACTTCTCTTTCCCCTTTGCCTAAACAATGTATATGTTCGGTGACACTTCACAGGGACTCCTTTCCAAAGCTCTCTTCCTGTTTCTCAGTTTCCCTAATGAGCCAAATCAGTAGCACTGAAGTTAGCCCTCTTATGCCCAGCACCTGGTACTCTGTAAGCATTTGTCAAACTGATTTAACTTCAATAATTGCTCACAAAATAGCAAACCTGGCTGTCACTGAGGATATCTAGTACAACTCCCTCACTTTTATTGCTAAAGAAACTGAAGTCTTAAGCAGTATGTAGAAACTGAGATCTTAACAGGTATGTACAGGCTGTCCATGGTCATGATCACTGGCGGTTTTCTAATGCCCACTTTCATGGTCTTTCCATTACAAACTTGTTGTGTGTTGGAAAAAGGTAAAAGTCACAAGGACAAGAGTAAAACATGGTGACTAGTATTCAGTCATCTGACCCTGACAAAGAGGCAAAAATCATTCACTGCAGGAAAGATCAGCTCTTCAACAATTGGGGCAGGGAAAATTGGTTACACGCATGCAGAAGATTGAATCTTAAACCCACAACTCTCACCCTGTACTAAAATAAAATCAAAATGGATCAAAGATCTGGATATCAAAACAAATACCATCTGTGGGAAGATAAAAAAAATAAATCTACAGATATTCCTCGTTTAATGACCTACCTGGTTAATGACTGGACTTACCACCCAAGAGCACTGTTTGAACTCAGGATCCTCCGCTCAGGCTTAGGACGCAGGAATGTGAGCAACAGTGAGGCCTTATGGTGGCTTCTTCTACAGTACAGTGCTGTAATTTCTGCTTGTGCTGCAGTGCACGTAAGAGTTACGCAACTAAGGCATTAAGTTAGAGTTCCCCTTGATCATTTTTGTTCTGAATATTGTAAATACGGTACTATATGTAATTCCTCATTTAGCAACCAACTCATTTAGCGACCTATCACAGGAATGTAATTCAGTTGTTGAACAAGGAATGTCAGTATTGAAGATACAGGAATAGGTAAAGTTTTTTGTTTTGTTTTGGGGGTTTTTTGGTGATAATGGGGATTGAACCTAGGGCCTTCACACGGAGCTATATCCCCAAACCTTTTATTTTTTGAGATAGGGTCTCATTAAGTCATTAAATTGGCCAGGCTGGGCTTAAAGTTGTGCTCCTCCTGCCACTGCCTCCAAGATTGCTGGACTTAGAGGCGTGTGCCACCACACACACACCCACATAGACTTTTTGAACAGAACTGCAACTGCAGAAGACTACAGTCACCACTAGTAATGAGAGCTGGAATTAACAAGCCATCTCTTTGATCAGAGCCCACGATCTCTGCACAGAGATGCCACTACTCAAGATACCATCAATGTGGATGGCAGATTTGACAAGTATTTTAGAATTGAGTGAATTAAAATTTCAAAAGAATGAAGACCACAGATGCAAATGCAAAGTTCCTCAAAATACAAAGCAAAAGGATGTGTAACAGGCACATTTAAAAAGACCTGACAACACAACAAAAAATTATACACACATTTCTGTAAAGAATATAGATGCAAAATTTCTCATCAAACTATTAGCACATTCCTTCCAACTCTATGTCAAAAAGAACATTCACATTATCGAGTTGGACTTATCAGAGAGGTGAGAATGATTAAACAAGCACAAATCAATAAATGTAATATACCACATCAACAAAATGAAAGTCAAAAGTCATGGTATTATCTCAATAGATACAGAAAGTTATTCAATAAAATTATTCAGTATCCTTCATGATAAAAACTGAAGTTAGGTACAAAAGGAACATACTTCAATATGATAAAGGATGTGTATAAGCCTCACAGACAACATCATAATAAATGGGAAAAGGTGCTTTCCTCTAACATCTGAAACAAGACAAGGATGCCCATTCTTACCACTCTTACCCAACACAGTACTGTACTGAAGTCTTAGCTGGAGCAATGAGGCCAGAAAAAGAAATCAAAAGCATACAATTAGGAAGGCAAGAAGCCAAACTTTCCATTTGTATAATGACATCATTTTATATCTACAAAAACCTAAACACTCCACTAAATGACCACTGGAACTAATTTAAAACTCAGTAAAGTTGCAGGATACAAAATCAACATAAGACAATCAGTAACAGGTTAATGCTTGCCTCGCATGTATGAGGCCTTAGGTTAAATCTCCAGTACTGAAAAAATAAAAAACAAAAAACAAAACTATTAACATTTTTATACACCAGTAATGAGACTGTTGAGAAAGAAATCATAAAAAAAAAATCCCATTCAAAATGGCTACCAAAAACAAAACACTTAGGAGTAAATTTCACCAAGGAAGTACAAGACCTCTACAATGAAAATTACAAAACTCCGATGAGACAAACAAACAAACAAAAAAGAGAAGGATTTCCCAATTCATGGTTCGGAAGAATTAAATATTAAATGTTAAATGTCCATACTTCCCAGAGCTATTTACACACTCAATGTAATCCCAGTCAAAACACCAGTGACATTCTTCACAGAACCAGAAAAAAAATCATTCATTTAGTGTTTGGCTGCTAGGTTTTATTTTATACTAAGAAATGATCTATTCTCTAATAAATATTTTTAATTTTTCTTATTTTTTCACATTTTAAAATTTTGATTGAGAAATCAAGATTAATGGAGTACCATGTGATGTTTTCCGATTTGTATACATCATGTAATGTTTAAGTTGGGTTAAACATATCTATATCGTGTCATCTATCATCTCTTCACAATGAAAACATTCAATAACCTTTCTTTTAGTTGCGCGTGTGTGTGTGTGTGTGTGTGTGTGTGTGTGTGTGTGTGTGTGTGTGTGGTGCTGGGAATGATCCATGGCCTTTGCACTGCAGATGGTAATTCTGAACAGGCACTATTTTTCCAGCGGAAAACTTAGAACACTTGCCAAAAAATCAAAAATGTGCATATTCTCACTCCATGCATTTTATATTTCTGTTTACAATAAACAAAAGCCAGCCTAATGTCCTGCCCTAAATGCCCTCTAACAGAGGACTGAATTGATTACAGTGCATCCCATAGAGTGGACTCCTAGGCAACCATATAAAGGAAGACTCATATAGATGTCTATTAGTGTAGAAAATGGTAACGTACTTTAATGAAAAAGAACAGGTTACAAAAAAGGATGCATAGTATAATCCTTCTGATTTAAAAAAAAAACTTCTAATGGAATCTATGCTGAAATAATGTGTCCCACAAAGTGGTAATATAAGTGATTTTTATCTTTTTATTTCTATTTTCTCAAGTTTCTACAATGAACATGTATCATTTATAAAACCAAATGGCCCATTATAAAAACCTGAAGCCATTCATTTTCAAAGAGAGCAATATGACAGGTGGTGAAGTGGCATCAAATAAATCGTTACTGGTAAACTTCACAGATCCTCTGAAAAAATACAACATTCTATACCTTTTGGTTCTGTGGATGTGTCTCTGATATGAGATTACACCTTGCTAATTCTGTAATTCTGAACATATTTTTATTAGTCTTGGTAGGTTACAAACCCGCAGAAGAAACTGAAAATTGGCACTTTCATTCTAGCTTTTGGCGAACTCTTAAATGTCTAATTAAGAGTGAGCAATGTAGTTTGGAATGGAAACCACACCAGCCAACACCAAGAGCCATGTGACCTTCAGAAGAACTTTCAATAAGGATGACTAGAAATCAGATACACCCGCATAAATAAACATAATCTCCAGATTAAAGTTTCAATGTGAGCTCACTATTCATCTTCAAAAGAAAAACTTCTTAGAAACAAAACAAAAAGTTCATCCTCATTCTGTTTAAGTAACTTATACATATCAGCTAATAACTGGAAGGCAAATAAAACATTCAACATAGGCAAAGCCACCCAGCTGTAAACTCTGAACTATTATTCTTACTTGATGTATAGAATTTACAGTATGTTCCAAAGCAATACAATTCCCACATAAACTCTCAACTATTGTTAGTCTTATTTGATGTACAAAATTTATAGGATGATCCAAAGCAGTGTGATTCCCACATCCCTGGTTTCCTACTAAAAATAAACCAGCCAGCGCTAGAGATGTCAACTTTTAATCTGCAGTGTCCCATTCAGTTTCCACAACCAAATGTCTTGTTCCATTCTTCATACAGCTCTAAGTCTTTTGAAGATACACTGGGCCGCACAGTTCTAAAAGCATTTTCAAAGTCAACATAAGCTATGGGCCGAACCTGATCTGGAGTTATGGTGGCGATGTCAGCAGTCTGTAAACTGCGAATGGGGCCAAGAGATGCCTCCCTGCACAGCTGGGTCATGTCTGCCCCGGAGAAGCCATCAGACCGCTGCACAATCTGATGGATTTCCTCCTCTCTGAGGTCACACTGCTCCCTGGACATCAGATTCGTCACTATCTGCTTCCTGGCTGAAGCTTCTGGGAGGGGAATGTATAGCCTCTTCACCAACCTTCTCCGGGCAGCCTCATCAATCTCTTGGGGCCGATTTGTCGCTCCCACCACTAGAATTCGGTCTTCAGAAGACGTGGTTGCGCCATCTAACTGAACTAAAAACTCCGTTTTTATCCTCCTAGAGGATTCGTGTTCACCATCTCCTCGCTGAGACAACAGGGAGTCAATTTCATCAATAAATATCACAGCCGGCTGTTGGCACCTTGCAACAGCAAACAAAGCGCGGACCATCTTCTCCCCCTCTCCTACCCACTTAGAGGTCAAGGATGAAGCTGAGATGCTGAAGAACGTCGCCCCAGACTGACTGGCGATGCACTTGCCAATGAGAGTTTTACCAGTCCCAGGGGGACCAAAGAGCAGAACTCCTTTAGGGGGTCCCCGTAACCCAGTGAAGATGTCTGGCCTCATCATGGGCCACACAACAATTTCCTTTATTGTGGTTTTTGCAAATTCTACACCTGCAATATCTCCCCAGTGTACTGGAGGCCCATGGTCCATAATCTCATTCATAATAAGTTCAATCATCTTGGGCTCCAAGTTCTTTAGCCGCTCATCAACAGGATGGGCTGGTTCTACTGGTGCAGCCCCGTAAGGCTTGTACTGCATCCCTCCACTCTGCTCTGCCCCTTCATGTTTAGGTACAGGAGGAACAAACTTCCCAAATATCCCTCGAGATCTGCCAGCTCCCAGAGACTTTTTCACACCCCCATGTGAGGACGCTGGTGCACGTGGGGGTTGGTGGCCCTTTTTTTGCTGGTCTACCCATAACTGTTCTTTTGCAGTTTTAAAAGTAGGCAGAGTGCTCTCCTCCCTTGGGCCATTATCTTCTGTTTTACTACAAGCCTCATTCAGTACTGGATTGGAAAGAGCATCGATGGTGACAGAACTATAAAAAGCCTTCCTTGTCCGTGGGTTTTCATAGCCAGAAGGAAAAGGAGACTGGTTAGATAAGAACATCTGTAGTCCTGCGTTGGCTTTAGGAGAACTGTGAGCTTCCTTTGTGACATTTCCAAATAATGGTGTGCTGTGGAATCTGGCTGTGGCTGACTCACCTGAAGGCCTGGAGGACATGGGACAGGTCTCAGCGCTGTTAGGCACGATGGGTGGCTGGACACTCTGAGGGTACTTCCAAGGGTTGCTGCCTGGGATGTCTTGGGCCCTATCTGTGTCAGGAACTGAGCCAGGTAGCAGGTCACCACCTCCAGCACCTCCACAAACACCAGAGCCAGGAAGATCATAGACAGGAGCCTCCTGCCGGATCACTACTGATGCACTGGCAGGTTCTAGCAGAGTGTCTTTGAATTTTTTGCCAGCCTGCATCATATTCTGTACATTACTCATTTTGAAAACATCATTTATTGACAACCCAGACTGCCACTTGTTACTGTTGGTTTGTTGAGATCTGGTCAAAGCTAAAATGTTTTCTGCATAGTTATTCAAGCCAGTTTCCACACTGTCAGAATCAACAATTGCAGAGTATTTCTCCGCATACCTTCTGAAGAGTTTGGTAGCACAGACCTGGGAGATCTCGCCGTTCGCCCAGGCATACTGAACACGCAGTATCTGTGCACGGTACGCATCTGCCTTCTGTCCCGGCGTACACATGCCAGATGTGACTGCAAAGTAGTTCTTCTGCCACTCGCTCAGGTGCACGGACCGAGAGCTGGAGGTCTGCATGTTAGCACTTCTACAACATGGACAAAATGAAAGACAAATGAGTAGCAGGAAGGAAACAGACATAATGGTTTCAACATAGTTTGAAAGTCTCTAGTAAGGAAAATATACTGGAGTTTTGACTTATAAGGTTTATTTATAATGACAGATTATTTATAAAAGAAATATCAAGTAAATCATAGACCAAATACTCAAGATATATGTATATATATATAAATTTTTTTTTTTTTTTTTTTTTTGGGTACCGGGGATCGAACTTGGGTCCTTGCACTTGCGCAGCAGGCGGTGAAACCGCTGAGCTAAATCCCCGGCCCCAATATAGATATATTTTTAATTCAATATATACTGATAATTTTTAAAATACAAAGTTTTGCAGTCTATGAATAGACCCCACCTTTAACAAAATTTTCAGCAAGAACAGTGTAATTATGGGTACACAAAATAAACCAGGAGTTTACGTCTGGTCTCCATGAAAAATGAGATGAATGATCCTAAGCAAGACTTTTTATTCTGGGCCTGCAGTTTTCTTATCTGTCAAGTGAAGAAGCAGCATTATGAGAATCAAGTAAGGTGAAATGAAATATGAAATATGAAAATAATCGGAAAACTACTAATGTTCCCAGTGTACAAATGTAGAAACTGAGGCTGAGTTAAGGAACTTACCAAAAAATCACACAGCCAATTATGAATAGAGCCAGAAGTCACATACACTTTCATTCCAAGTGCTATGTATTCCACCATGTATCCAGTGTTCCTTGATGTTGCTGCCGGAGGTCATACATTAAGCTACATGGATCATAAATATGAACTGCATTATACTTAATGTTTTTAATGTCTTATTCATAAATAAGCACCTAAGATTGTTAAGTCACAGAACCACAATTTCCCAATTTCACATAAAGTGAATGTGCAATTGTTATGACACACAAAATAGCAAAAGCCAAATAGCCAGTAGTAAAACGCTTTTACTTTAGGTTTCTCTCTCAAGTTATTTTCATAAACCAGTACGTATGTTTTAACAATCATGAATGTATCATGATTGTCGTATGTGTAGAATCTGCCTAAGTATTCACAAGAAAACTTTATAAGAAAACAACTTAGTTTCCTAAGAGTATTGCAATAAACTAAAAAGAACTTGTGTATTTTAAATTTATCTTTCAAATTACACAGAATAATCAAATTATTTCCATACATGTGCCGTGTTTAATACAGCTTAGAATATCCAACAATGCCTTGCAGGGAATTTGTCACATTATACGAAGGTCTTCGTAAATCTTTGTTAATAAAAATAAGCTTAACATCCAGTGAGACTGTAATTTGTTTAGAGCTAAAAAGCTAAACAGAGTCAAAACTTAGATAAGCAGGTCATCCTGCTTCCCACTATACCACGTTAACTTTTTTTTCCCCCCTAGAACCCGGGATTGAACTCAGGACCTTGCACTGGCCAGGCAGGCACTGGCGCCACTGAGCTAAACCTCCAGCCCTATACCACTTTAACTCTTAATGTTTATACAATACTGGAACCAGAAAATGAAACACAGATAACTTGGAAATATTTATCAAAACTCTCACAATTCCTCTAATCAGCTTCTTCGTGGTTTCACTGCAGTTTATCATCTGCAATCCTGGGATTTCTCCAACAGCTCAGAGATAAAATCACGGTTCTCGGGGGCTCTTCATTCTCCCTTCCACTGTCACCTGTTTCAATACTCATCTCCCAATTCTTAATTCTTCCTTTCAGTTCACTTATCCAACAACTATGGATATGGACAGCCAAAACCTGGCCACCACTGCTCAATGTCACATCTGCTGTCCTGTTCACCATTTCCAAGTGGACTTAACCTTTATGGGCTAAAAATTATAGTTAATAGACACTGACATAAAACTACATTCCCACCTTTATTTCCATAATTTTCTGATTATCTTAAGAATATATTTGTCTTCCTAACTGGATAACTGGAAGCAGGAACAGTTTTCTATTACATTTACATTCTCGGACTAGGAATGCTCGGGCCGCACTCGGAGAAGCGCGGGAAACGCACAGGGCGAACCGGCCCGGAACGGGCAGGCCCAGCCACACTTGCCTCGCCCGCTCGGGCCTCGGCCCCGCCGCCGGCTCCCGTCCAGCTCGAGGAGCCCCGCCCGGCGCCGGCCGGCGCCCCGGTACTCTCCCGTCCACAGAAGGAAATAAAGGGGCGCTCCAACAAGACTCCCCGGTCGACCCGCCCCGCGGACTCCGAGCCCGCCCGGCCCGAGGGGTCAGCGGCGCACCGACCCGCCCAGTCACCACCTCCAACGCCCGCCGGCCGAGTCGCCAAGGACTCCGAAAAGCGCGCGGCCCGCTCTGCGCCTGCGCCGTGAGCGAAGTGCGCGTGCGCGGCGTGACGTGCTACTGAGCTGTGCGTACGTGCTTACGTACGTACGTACGTGGGGTCGCGGTCCCTTGGGTAGCAGCCGTTAGGATACTTGCTGGCTGTCCAGGCGCGGTGGGTTTACTTTTTATTTATTTACTTATTTATTTTCCTTTCGATCCAAAGGATTGAACTCGGGGCCTTCACACAGAGGTATACCCACATCCGCCTTCTTTATTTTGAGACAGGGTCTCGCTAAGTCGCTCAGTCTGGGCCCCGATTTATGATCCTCCCGCCTCAGTCTCCCGACTGCGAGGATTACAGGTGCCAAAGGTCACGGTAGTTTTACTTTAAGTGACAGATTGTATTCGTTTCATGCTGCACAGGGTTCATTTGAAAGAAACGGGTAGGGAATCTAGAGATTTGAGGGAGAGGGGAGGGAACAAGGGGAAGTCAAACGGATCATGGCCATTCCCCAGGGTGAATGTATCACATGTATCACAAACATGCTAGGAAAAGAGGGACAAAACCAAAAAATGAAAAAAAAATAAAGTGCTCGGAAATACAGACAAGGACGTGGTGTGAGTTGATGGACCCTGGAAGGATTCACGTAGGAGCTGACACACCTGGACTCACCTGCCACAGACAGGGAAGGGCGGGGAGCTGCGTTAATGCATTTAAGGTAGGACTCGCCTCAGTTGTCCCGAACCGGGAACTGACTTGTTCATCAGCCATGCCCTGCGGCCTTTGCACCCCACAGTCTACTGCAGGGTCTCAGTCCTCTTTCCAACAGGAATAAACATCGGTAACTCAAGAATCTACTGAAAGGACTACCAGCAGAAGAGCCCAGTTTGGGCAACTTAGCAAGAACCCTGTCTCAAAATACAAAATCAGAAGGGCTAGGGAGGTAGCTCAGTGTGAGGGCCCGGGTTCAGTCGGCAGTACCAGAAGGGAAAAGACCTGCAGTACTTACACACCAGTTAAATTGTGAAAGTATCTGGTGACACATAAGCTGATACCATTACATGTATTGTTACTAATAACACAGTACTCTTATTGGGATTCAGACCCTTTATGCTCTATCAGAACTTGTTCATCTAAAAAATGGGGCACATTAGAATGTCTCCTAATGCTTCAGCATAAAATGTAAGAGTTTACTGCCTGGGCTTTGCAGATACTACCTTTTTCCTTCAGAACACAGGTGGTGTAGCATATTCTTCTGCCTTCTGGGTAGAAGTTGCTGAACCTGCAAGGAAGAGGTTTTCACCTACATATAGCAGACCTTGCCGGTTCCCCTGAGGGCTTCCGAGATATGGCTGCTCATTTCCATATTCATGAGTTTTATAAACATGGTATCCGATAATGCCAGTGTACAGTTGAGTGAGCTCATTTGTTTTTGAGCAAAGGGATAATAGGGTCCCAAGAAATATGCATCCTTTTCTGCCAGGAGATTTGCTTTCAGTAAGTTTAAAGAGATATGTTTGGAGGTGAGTGTGGCAGGTGAGTGGGTTGAGGGAGAAAAGACAAGCACACAAATTTAAATCCAATTCCTCTGTGGAATCCCAAGTGTGGCTGGAATCCCAGATTTCCAAACCTTCCTGGTTAGGGATCAGCCTAACTATGGTGAGGAAGAAGGCAAGTGAAGATTGGGGAAGGTAGGCAGCCCTCGTACAGAGAAATGAGACATGGCGAGCTGAAGCCAGTAGAAGGCACAGTTCTTGTGCAACATTTTCATCTGACACACAGAATGAATCATGAAGAGGCATGGAGGTTGCCTGTGGCATTGCCGGCATTAACAAAGCTAGTGAGTAGAGATGGTGCCTTCCCTGTATTAGAAAACAGAATTAAAACAAATTTAAAGTTCTTTTTAGCTTTTATTCATGAATTGGGGTAGCCTTCATTGAACAAGAGTTTGCACTGGTCAAAGGCAGAATAGTGGATTTTGTAAGGTGAGAAGAGGAAAACAGAACAAAAGGAAAAACTGATGTTAACATCATGCTAAGTTGAATAGTTTCCATGTAAGGAATAAACCAGTATGACCTCCTTATCTTGCTAACTCCCATAGTCTGAGCTCTCTCTGACTGGTTGCTGTGAACTTTCTTCTTTGAAATAAATTGGTCTGGAGATCCACCTGCTTCCTTCAAGTTTTTTTGACTATGTAGTATTTAGCATGAATGACTCCATTTTGGTTTGGTCTGTTGGGGCCTAGCTCAGTCCAAAATGGTGGCTTCCCATAATTCTTAACACCTGAAATGGGGCATGATAGAGCAGAAAGGGACTGTTTTGATGATTTTCCTCAAGGACCAACCAGAGTCAGTGCTTCTCGGTGTGTCCAGTTTGGTATCATATGCATTGGATTGTTCTACACAGGCAGTTATGTTGGTCTTAACCCACAGATCTCTGAGTCTGACCTTATTTGGAAGTAGGGTCTTCATCACGTCAAAATGAGCTCATACAGGATTAGGGAAGGCCTGACTCCAGTAATGATGGATGTCCATAGGAAGAAGAGGGGAGAGGCACATAGAAGATGGAGGACAGGCCGAGGCTGGAGTGATGGGGCCACAGGCCAAGAAGCATCTGGCTTTTTCAGAAGCTAGGCTTGAAGGGAGCAGTGCCATGCTGACACCTTGGGTTTGGGCTTCTGGTTTCCAGAGCTGTAAAGCAACTTCTGTTTTCCTAAGACCTTGAGATTGTGGTGCTCGGTACAGCAGCCCCAGTACACAATACTGGGCCTTCTTATAGCATCTGGGTTGAGGGCGGTGGGGTAGGACCAGGCCTGCAAAGGGGCCCTCCAGGGTTTGGTCCCAGCTCCACCACACACCAGCTACAGCTGCGGGGAGAAACCCGGGCAAAGTCCGCAGAGCAGCCAGCCCAGCTAGCACTGCCTGTGTGTGGGGTGTTATCTTTATGCCAGGCCTGTCCCTCCATCCCATGTGGGTGCCCTGATGAGAATGTGGCACTGAAAACTGACCTGAAAACCTTCGTGGTTTTCCCACTTTTTAGGCTTTTTCACCTTGTTCTTTGATAATTTGTCCAAATTCTCTTATTCTCATGGAATACTGGAATCTCAGACATAGGACAGAGTTTAAGGGTTGCCTGCATTGCAGCCCAAGCTCTTGTTTATGGAAGAGTGTCCCTACCGCTTCCCAGCTCTACGCTTCCCATCCTCACTTAGTGACCTACAGTGGTGGAGAATACACTGCACTCCAAGAAAGCACATTCCATCTGCTGATAGCTTTAATTTTTCTTCACACTAAAAAAATCTCTATGTCATGTGCTCTTTGGAGTAACAACAAAGACTCTTCAGTCTGGAAGGAGTGTAAAATTTGAAGACAGCTGTCAAGTCCTTCCTCACCCTTTCTCACCAGACATCCTTCCATCCAGTCTTGGACTTTCTCTATTCTGAGCTGGGTGCTGTGATCAACAGCTGCCAAAGGCCACTAAGTCAGCCTCTGATGCTTGTCCCACCCCTGTCAGGCTGAATGCAGAGTTAAATAAGATGCTGTGCACTGACCACATACTGATCTGAACAATCCAGGCCCATAAAAGCTTCCTCACGTTGGACCATCTGAGGATTGTCTGCCTGGTTGGAGTCAGGCACCAAAACTTTACCTGGTAGACATTGGGGGCTTTTCCCAAAGGGAACAAATGTCAGCAGAGCAAGCTTACTCTGCCTTAGTCACTTTCTTGTCGCTGAGTCACAATATCCGACACCCACAACTTCAGGGAGGAAAGGTTTATTTGGGCTCATGTTTGCAGTCCTTGGTTGGCTGGCTCCAAGGCAGGACAGCAGGGTAGAGGGACAGTGGAGGGGAAGCAGAGAGATCAAAGGAGGAGTTGGGAAGGGAGATACATCCTTCCAGGTTACAGCCCCGGTGAGCCCCCCCCCTTCTGACCAGACCCTACCTCCTAACAGCACATTCAGCTCTGAGGAGTGTGTCTCCCCCATGGTCTAATCACATTCCAAAAGTGTCACCTTTGAGCATCAGACTTTAGGGGGACATCCAGCCACAAGCCATGACATGGTTAATCCTGAAGAGCCCACAGAATAGTGGGCAGCACAGTGTAAGGGGCAAGAGGGTGGGTTATAGAGCCAGGCAGGGTTGCAGTCTCAGCCGCCGATTATCCATGTGATGTAGGGACAAGTCACCAAACTTCTCAAAGGCTCACTCTGGATGTCTGTAAAATGCGATTATAATGGCACCTACCTCTGAGAATTTCACAGTAAGTATTATTATTTTAAATCAAGCACAATAATGCCTGGCTTACAGCAAGTGCTATGAGTGCGTTTTTGTTACAGAAACTGGGAAGAATCAATCCCTTCTTCCTGTCTCTAGGGCTGGGTGGTTTGGGGCCTGAACCCTAGGAGATGGGATGAGCTAGAAGTGAGCCAGCAGTCATGCAAGATTTTGTCTCTGCTGAGTCTGCATCTAAACCGAAGCCTCAGACTCTGCTCCCGAAAGATCAGACCAGTTCGGAGACAGGAGTGCTCCAGCTCTCAGTGACCTCCTGCCTCCTGCCTGCAGCAGCCCTGTGCCACCTCTGCCCACTGTCCTCCCACTCCTCCTGGCCTCCTCCCCAGACTGCCTCTTTGAACAGGCAGGATGGAGCTGCTCCGAAACAGCTGAGGGCTGCTCTTGGTGACTTCAGTGCACGTCTTGGAGACTTCCAGCAGTCCTAGCACAAGGGCACCCTTGGGTGCAAAACCACCTCACTGAAGATGGGGCCTGCCCAGCCTCGGTGCAGTGACCTGAATGGACCATCCTGGGTTCCCACACTGTGACAGAAGCCGAGTTTGAGTCCCTGACAACTGGACATCCTGACCAAATCAGATGGGGGCCATGCACAGGTAATGAGTGACATCCTGTCATTCAATTTCATCTACATATATCAGAGGTCTCTGAAATTTAGATACCTATTAATGACTGGAGGACCTTCCTGAGTGTGCTTTTGGTATTTTGAAGTCTCCAAGGGAAGTAGGTAATCTTGGGATAAAAACACCTGTGTTTCTAAAAGGAAAATGGTTCCAAATAAAGATAGGGGAGTTTGAGTAAATACCACTCCTTACTGGAATTGATATTTACAGGAGCACCCTTAATTAATTTGCTTATTAGTCATGATGGATTTGCCATATAGGGAAATTAAGGCCCAGGAAGTCAGAACATCACAACAGAACTTGATCTCGTTGCTCAGATCTAAGTTGTCTCTGTTATGAATCTGTTGAAGTCATCCCCAAGTAAAACTTGTGTGCTACTAATGTATCTAGAACAATGACCGACCCATGGTAGGCTCTCAGTGAGCATGTGTGGAATAGATGCCATTCTAAAATATCTAAGCATGACGTATCTGGCCATTTTGAAAGAAGTCCATGTCACATCAGTATGATACAGTGTAGAATAAGATGGTCACCCGACACGGTTAGCACGGCACTTCAATTGTTTATTAAGCATAAAGCCATGTGATAGGACAGTTTAAAGACCACAGGCATAATATCAAGTCATGATCACAGATGGCCCTAGAGTATACTTCAGTAAGCCTTTTCCGCTCCAGCTGGTGGCTTTGTGAGCATGAAAACCTGTGATTCTTAATCAACAAATATCACAGCCAAATAATGAATAAAAGCTAAGACACTTGGATTAACTACATATAGTAAATATTTCTTCATTGATTAGACACAGAAAAAGATAGTCCCAAGTCTGGTTAGCTCTGGAGATGGACACAGAAGGCCACAAACAGGCTGAGTTCCATGGAGCCGGGACTCATTCCAGTTTTCAGATAAACTTTCAACTTTCAGTCTCTGCAGGGAGGAAAATAGCATGAACATGACTGCATCCCAAAAACAAAAGTGTGAGAATTCTGCATACTTCTTATTTAAATAGAAGGAGTATACTATTTCTCCCATGAAATGGAGGCAAGTCTTCAAGGTAAAATAGTTTGAACCTAAAGACAGGAGTTGCTGCTGCCGATCTAACATCTCATGACAAGTTTTATCAATGTCTACTAGAATCTCTGCCTAATTTCCTACTCTCTGTAAGACAGGGATAGTTCCCACTTCCATTCCAAATTATGGCCATGTAGACAGGCTATGATAACCTCTGATAAGCACAAGAATAAAACCAAGCTACTAAGACTTTCCATTGTTTAATTACTTTGACCAGAATATACCTGCATTATAATTTACTATGGTACCCTATCTACTTCTTAGAAAACTGAACCCCAGGTTTTCTTTTGAATCTGTAGCGAGTATAAAGGCCCTGAAGACCCTTATCTGGTACAGTGCAATGTTCTACAGAAATGTCTGCCTGATGGAGTTTTGTTTAGTATATATTTCTTATGTATACAGCAATTGAATATTCCAAAATATGAGCCCTGCCTGACACCTCCCAGCAATGTTCGAGATAAGACTTAGGGTGTTCTGGAGAAGGCGGCCTCTAGCCGAGGGGCAGAGGAAGGTTCTTCATGTATTTCTCCGCCGCCTTCCACTGGGAAAGCAGCTACCTTGGCCTCACTTTTCTGAAGCCACCATAGCCACTCACGTAATGAAATGCAACTTTAAACGTGATTTTTTGAGCACTATAATATTTCAGGTATTCATAGTTACAATTAGGAGCAAAGAAGACAAAGTTGCATGCACTCAACACATTAGATTCTGCGTCCTCCATAGGTTGTAATAAGAGACAGGAAATGAAAAGGAAGAGAGGACAAAGAGATGCAGAAGTTAATGGGAAGGGTCACAGAGATTCGTCCACTACCCTGTTCTCCAAGTGGGACCAAAAATAGACCGAGAAACAGATCAACAACACCAATGCATAACACACCCATGATAATCCATGAAATGCCTTTAAGGTTGATTGTTTCAGCTCCTGCATACATAGTTTTTAAAATCCTTCCTGTTGCTGATACTACATCTGCTTAAAACTTTGTCCTGCTGAGTGACCTGCGTGCTGGTCACAGGACCATCTTACTGGAGCCCCATCCCTCATTTGCAGGAGTCTAAACATGTTCATTCCGTAAACCACCATGTTTGGGCAGTGAATCACCAGTCACATGATTTCTGTCTTAATGTTTTCATTTATCTAAAGCTCGCCAGCTTGATACAGTTGCAACAGTAAGTTGTCTTAATAAATACTGTTTGGGGAGGTGCAAGGGGCAGACATTATAGAGATTGATATTCTCATATCAGACAATAAAAGGTCTAAATCTAAGTCTTCAAAGAATCATTAGCAGTAGCATTTGTTTTACTTCTCCTGGCTGAACATGATATGGTTTTTGTGCTCGGGGGATGGAATTCAGTGCCCAGCGCTAAGTGGCAGGGCCAGGGCAGGGATGGGGACTCCTGGGAGGAAAGGATGTCCCTGGCCCAGGGCATGCTCACCTGCACGGCTCGGCTCTCAGGCCCTCTCTGGCTTCAGTATGTCCTCCGCCAGCTCCCGGATGTGTTCCCAGGCCTGCTGCACGTGGGCAGATTCCACCTCTCGGGAGCAGATGGCAAAGCGCAGCACGAACTTGTCCCGCAGGTGACACGGGACCAGGTGGATTTTCCTGGCGCCATTTATTCTTTTCAGGAGCGTCTCATTCAACTGGTTGGAACCCTGAGGGATTGAGAGTGAGAAACTGCCCAGCCCTCTGAGGTCTCAGCCGTCCACCCAACCCGTAACACGATCTCAGCCAAAGCCTGGCAACACCGAGGTACAGAAGGGAAGGGCCACCATGTGCCTTTCACTGGGTGGCGAAAAAGTCCAACACAGGAACAGTGACGTGGCTAAGAGGCCACAGCCTCTCTACAAGACCATTTTCCTGCGTCCTAGTGGCTGTCAGAGGATGATCCTCCGAGGGTCCAAGTCTGTTTAGAAAAATGAAGATCCCTAGACTGGATGCCTCTACAAGGGGGTGTGCTCAAGCCGCATGACTGAGGTCTAAATCCCCAAGACAGAAGAAAGTCTCAAAAACAGAGCAGAGCAGAGAAACCACAGTAGAATCCAGAAAGGAGTCCAGGAGCCAAGGGCAGCCTCTCTGGAAAAAACAGCCCACCGGCCCAGGGTGGAGGGGCCAGGTCACACCATGCCCACCAGGTGCCCAGGAACACATGGAAAGCCACAGGTGCCCTGGGCCTGCCTGGCAGGGCAGCCCAGCCCCGCTCCTCTCTGCCCTCCCCTCCATGCCCTCCTATCTTGTTCCCACGCAGCAGCTCCCTGTCCACTAAGCCATACGGTGCAGTGGGAAGGAGGAAGGGCTGGATGTGCACACACTGCTGTCCCTCCCAGCCCGGTCCTCAGGTCATGGGCAGGGGACTGGTGGAGAGGGAAGTGTCCGGTCTACAGCACAGAACCACACCAGCAGAGCACCTGGTGGATGCTGAAAGTGGGCCTGGACATGGGCCACCTCTAGCTGTGGGTCCCACCCTGGCTCCCAGGGAGCCCAAGGACACCATGACAGGGTGGCAGCAATCTACAAACTCCGCATGCACACCAGGTCCAGACAAACCAGGTCCTGCTGAAGGAGAAGGTTAGAAAACAAAACAAAAAGCATAGAAACTATGATACCAAGGGAATGGAGTTTTGTCAACAAGACTCAGCCTAAAAGCACAGGTCTGAAATTTGTACAGATTTATACAATTGCTTGCCATTTTCAAGTGAATCTGATTAGATAGGATTTCCATGGATTAGAGGCAAGAAGGCAAATTATTTGACACAAATCAGCTGAGTGGGGCACAGAAGGAAACTGGTCAGGCTGAGGACGGAGGGACAAAGAACTAATCCTGCACCTGCCACATCACATGCCTGAGGTTTGCTAAAGAGCCACGGGGACACTGAAGTGGTCAGTGATGTGGAGGACTTGAAACTCAGACTGGGGAAGAACAGGATGAGGAGGAAATGACGCCAGCATGGTGACTATGGAGGCAGGAAATGAACTATAAAGTGTGACTGATACACATCCTCAAGAAGCTGATTTGCTAAAGGAAGAACCAAGTTTCACAAAAGACAGTGCCCTGGGTTTCCTGCCATAACCAGGAGAAGAGGCAGAGACAGGCACTGGGTCTGGTGTGGCCCTGACCTCTCCATGTCACGCCCAGAGAAGGAAGCCACCCTCAAGGGGGCATGCAATGAAGGGTCTGTACATGGCTGTATAGAGAGAACGCTCTAGAAGCAGAAAGCAGATCGGTGGCCCTGATCTGGCAGCAGAGAATGGCCGAATGGGGCAGGAGTTTTTTGGGGAAGATGAAGGTGTACCAGAAAATCACTTAATGGACAGTTGACATGGACAAACCTGCAATAAACCCTGCAAATTAAAATTCAGAAGTCATACAAGAACACTGGCAACCCAAGACCACTGTCCGGGCAGGTAAGTCTGCACACAGCACCAACACCAGCGCTGAGGTACGCCACCCATCACCTGTGTCACCAGCTCCCTCCCGGTTCCCTGGCCCTGGCCCCGGCCCTGCCACTCCATGCTCTGCGGAGAGCGTCCGTCTCCCCTCCAGCCTGAGTCAGAGCCCCACCCAGCACTGTGGATTCCAGATTGTTCCACCCCTGGGTCCCACCTGCATTCAGAGCTCCAGAATCAGGTGGGGAAGGGAGGGAAAGGGGCTGCACCTGGAGGGGCAGTGCCACACTGAGCGGGACACCAGGACAGCAATGCCTGGTTCTCCTGGTCACCATCTTTGAACCAGGGCCCTGTGGAGAGGCCTGAGACTGGTCCAGACACCGCCGGGCTGTTGGGAGCAGCAGCAGCTGTGGTCCCTGCTGCCAGGAGGACTGCAGGCTCCAGGCCGGCCGTGTGGCACAGTGAGGCCCTGGCTCTTACTGCTTAAGAAGGTGGGGGCCTGCAGTGTGGCAGAGCTCGTGCTTGCCTGCGGTGTGCGAGGCTCTAGCTTCAATCCCCAGCACGGCAAAAACAAAACTCAACTCTGTTAGCCTATTGTCAGCCGCTGCATCGCGGCCAGCGTGCGCTGTGTCCTGGCACCATTTCCATGAGCGGTGTTAGAGGGATATGCGCGACGCAGCCCCAGGCCTTCTGGGGAGTCACAGACACTTCCCCCACCACGCTGGCCAGCCTAGCGCAGGGCACACAAGCTCGGGCAGCAGGACACCCACGGACGGTCTCACCCCCTTTGCACGGATCTTACTGGGGTGCAGGGCAGAGCCCTGCCTGATGCTGCAGGCCAAGGTGACCCGGGTTGGCAAGCTGTGGACAGCCCCAGTCCTGCAGAGGTCCCCAGTGACAGACGTGGGGCAGACAGAGCTCCCCGGCACTAACCGAGCCTCTGAGCAGAGGTCACTGTGTCACATGCAGAGAAAGCAGGGAGGCTGCAACAGGCGCGAGCGTACCTTGAGCCGGAAGCAGACCAGCCCCAGAATGACCTCCATGCAGATCTCAAAGCGGGGGTCCTGGCGCACCAAGGACTCGAACTCGCGAGCCAGCTGCACGTGCTGGGGAGAGACCGAAGTCGGTTGAGTTTCTCATCACCTGAATTCAGAGCTTAACCACCCAGAAACCTCATTAGACAGTGCAGCTGTCACTCGAGCGACTTCTCTGCGTATGTGCACCGTCCCCTCAGAAGAGACCTCCTGACTCACTGCCAAGAAGCAGGCGCCCGTTCACTGAGTGCAGCGCTGGGGACTGAACCCAGGCCTTGTGCACGCTAGGCGGAGCTCTGCCCCTCGGCCCTCTCCTCGCACCTTCTGGGAGAGAGAGGCTCACACCCTCCACCCGTGTTCCTCACGGCCGCTCAGCACGCGGGGACACCGGGCTCACAGCTCAGGGCCCCAGCACCAGCCCCCGTGTCCAGCCGGGTCCCCGCAGGTCCGCGGCTGGAGTGGGTGTGGGTGCGTGTGCTGCGCCCTGAGGGACGGGACTAGCCGGCCTGTCGCGCTCGGGAGCTGCCTTCCTCTCACCGAACACCCAACGCACTGACCTTCTGGATGCTGGTCCTTATACTACGTGGCCCGTGGAGACCATAGATGTGTGTGGACTGCCGCCTCCTCTAGAGCGGGATCTGTGCGCAGGAGAGCGCACGAAATACTGGACGAGCTTGTGGAGCCTTGGGCCTTTAAAACGACGATACCCAGGCGACCACCAGAGGGCGCCAAAGACCTCTGACCCTGTGACAAGCGCTGGTGCTGCCCAGGGGGACTTGGTCTGGTGACGCTGGTACCTACACAGAGGTGTGCTGTGTCCTTACGCGAGGTAGCACAACCCCGGCCAGTTGTCCTGGACTCTGAAGATGTCTCCACAGTGGACAGGCAAGCCACTCCCTTTTTGCCTTCTTTCCCCAAATAGGTTGATTTGCCCTTCTTGTCCTGTCTCAGAGGCAGACGAAGCATCACACTCATAAATTCACAGACCTTTCCCGACTCTCCCTCACGCACAGTCTACGTCCCTGTTGCCGAGCAGGGCCTGTGACGTCAGCCCCTGCCCTCAGCTGCAGAGTTGGTGACACGGTGGCACCGGGACTTAAGTGCAGGGCGGTCTGGATCCATCACGGGCTGAAAGCGCAGGCTGCCTTCCCCGTAAAGCGGGCCTCTGCCCTGCAGGAGGAGCCCGGAGCTCGGAGAGAACTCCGGGGTCTCACGTGGACCTGGCCTGGATCCAGTCGGCTCTGTATCGGGCTGGACACGGCCTGAGGGGTCTTACGTCGGAGTCAGGCCTGAGTTTCCCCAAAACGTCAGGGTAGCGAGCCGTGGCTCTCAGGTGTTAGTTTGTCTCAGCCTGGCCCTTTGACAAAGCAGAGGCTGCTAGGGTCCGACCCGGCCCGCTCTGCTAGGGGGTGCGAGAGATCAGGGTGAAAGGGACCCGTCCACCCCAGCTCCAAGGTTCACCAGTTTGGCACATCTTGGTAGGAAAATGATATGTGATGAAAAATACAGTCAATATTTAGGCTTTTAAGTTTATCACAGTAAAAGCCACGTTGTCACGACTTCTTCTCAAAGTCCTCCCCCTCACTTCAAATGCACTCATCCGCTCGTCCTCGCCCCTCCCTGCAGCAGCTCCGGAGCCCTCTTTCCTGAGGGTCTTTAGCTGTGCGGTCCTGGCTGCCTCGATGTCCTGAATGCATTCGAAACGTCTCCCTTTCCTGGTCACTGTGACTTTGGGGAAGAGCCCGAAGACGCAGGGCGCCAGATCTGGAGATTAGGTGGAAGAGGATGGGGTCGTGTTGTTATAAGCCTGCTTTCCACTGGGGGGCGCTCGGCAACAGCATTCGCTGAATTTTGATTCCCGTCTTGTGGACACACAGGAAAGACTTCAGAGCTGCTGCAGAAAGTGGCCAGAATGATGGAGTAAGTGTGTTTAAAGCCTGGGCGACTCATGGCAACATGTCTTTTACCATAATAAATTTAATTTAAACATTCACCATAGTTTCCGACCACCCAGTGCATGGTTTCACTATTGCCATTGCTCTGTGAGCCTCACTTCCGTATTTCTGCCAGGTGGACGTGGCAGAAGAACCACCTGGATTACATTCTGTCTTTGACCAGCTCCCTGGAGCTGATAACTTCCACTCCTGACACAGTGTTTTAAAGATCCGTATCTGTGTGTTTGACCATCTTATAAACACTCATCTCAGCAGCCAAGCTACAGTCTGGTTCCTTTAGCAGAGGCGTCATAGGCAGAGGGATGATGTTTCAGTCAACTTGGGACAGCCCAGACCACGGCGATCCCAGGGACTGCACCTCCTGCTCATCATTGCTGTCTTTGAGTCAGCACACTCAGGGATGCATTTCCCAGAACACCCGCCATGACATGATTGTGGCTGTATTTGCTCACTCAACATCTGAATTCTTTCCTAGATTCCCAAGACCTTACAGTTCCTCAGAGAGAATGAGGACAGGCTGGGTGTGATGGCACGCTTGGAATCCCGGCACTGTGGAGGCCGAGCAGGAGGGTCACAAGTCTGAGCCCAGCCTGGGCAACTTAGCAAGCAGCTGTCTCAAACTAAAAATTTTAAAAAGCTGAAGAGGTAGCTTAGTGCAAAGGCCTTGGGTTGAATCCTTAGTACCACACACACACACACACACACACACACACACGCACACACAGAAAATCCAAACCAGTCACCTTTCGAATGTACGCCTGCAGCCCTTTGACTCCGTAAGTTCTGAAGACAAACCACATTTTCAAAGATCGGAATCTCCGGCCCAGGGGGATTTGCCAGTGCTGAAATAAGACAGAAAGCAGTGTACCCATGAGGACCACGAAGAGACCAGCTTCCTCTCCAGCCCTGCAGGTATCTGTTTCCTGCTACTTTTCCCTCCACAACCGAAACATTTGAACTGCACATGGTTCCACTCTTGCTAAGCCACCAACGTGAAGCAGAAAATGCACCCTCGTCCACATGGTCTGGGGGAGTGTGACCGGGGTGAGCTTGTGACCGAGACCCTAGGCTCGGGCTCCCATTAGGTCTTGCACTCTGGAATGCTGTGCGCCTCTAGGGAAGCTGTCTCCCAGCTGAGAAGAGGGTGTCGGGGCCTGCCTGGCCCCCCTGGAGTGGAGAGCATCCATGCTGTCTTTTCGTCTCCGGGCAGAGCTCACAGCCAGACACTGCGCAGAGCCTGGTGCCCTGAAGGCCCCGTTCTCCGGCTAGGTCTCTGTCCTCCTGCCTCAGCCGTAAGCACTAGACAGTCCTGGGGGCCTGTCGTTGCCCTGCACCTCCCCGATGAGCCCAGCAGGGGGCAGTGTCCTGCCCTGGGGGGTCCTCTCCCCAGCCTGCAGGCTTCGATGGCCTGAACGTGGGTTTCCAGTTTCTTTGTTCTTTGCCTCCTGAGTGGGCACCGTCCAGTCAGGGATGAGGCTGGAACTCACAATAAAGACAGGGACACTGGGAGCCCTGAGGATGCTGGGGGCCCATGGGAAAGGCCACTCATCTTGGTCAGGACAGCAGCACAGAGCACATGGTCAGGGAGCTCTGGACTGTGGTGGAGGGACAGGGTCAGGTGGGCGGCAGTGACAACCGTCAAAGCCAGGGCGACTCAGCAACCATGTGGATGGGCCACGCTGCAGCCAGCACTCGACGTGGACACACGTTTCTCCTGAGTGTCCCGTTTCTAGCTGCTACTCTGGTGATGCATCCCCAGCACCATTGTTCCCAACGCCCTTCCAGAGCAAGGCTGGGGCAACCTGGCATTTCCGAAATCTATGGTACCAAACATGGTGGCAAAAGAAAGCAATCAGAGGTGAGATTGCTGAGCACCTTGCTGTTCTCTGGCTGCTGTCCCCCTACCCACTTCCCAGGGTGCCGCCCCTGCACCAGCACCGACACAGAAAGAAGTGGCCAGCAGAGGGGCCCCTGCAGAGTACTGGGGCGCTAGCATCTTCCCCAGCCAGAACTGCGGCCGGGGCCAGGTCTTCCCTCAGCATCTGTGGTTGGCAGGATGGGCAGAGCCGCCCACCGCCCCCAGAACCCAGCAGATGGGTCAGTGGGGACCCTGCTCATGAGGGCGAGAGACACCAACAGTCACGGCCAGGAAGCCTCCGACTGTGCCCACGTGGTGGATTTCAGGGGATCTGCAGCTTAGCGAGACAGGGGCCACTTACCCTGTAGTCAGTGATAAGTCCTGCAGAAAAGAGAAAGAAAAGAAGAGAAACCATTAGACCAAAGTGTGGGCTGTACACTAACTTTTCTCATCTTCCAGGTGGATTTCTTGTGTCACAAATGAGATAAAGCCACCTGGCAGCCGAGTGCTGCACCTAAGAACAGCGGCTCTCCAGGTGATGGATTGGAGGGGAGTCCCCAGACACAGGCTGGAAATGCTAGGTTATTCAGGGACCCATAGGTTTGCTTTCTGCAGTTACACAGCATAAAACCCCAAGGTTTCACCCAGTGGCCCAAGGAGGCTGCATTCGGGTCACGTAGCTCACTCTTCATTCTTCATTCATTCACGAACAGGAGGGTGAACCACTGGTACAAAGAGTGGTTGGCATAAGAAACAAAGCGAAGAGCGGGACTCAATGGGAGAGCCTGTCTCTGTGCATATGACCCGATTACAGAGTCCAGCCCAGAGCACATGCTTAGTGAAAGCCCACAGTCGGCTTCCTCCTTCACACTCGGTGGCTCCGCTGGCCAGGAAAAGCAGCTACTCTTTGCCTCCCCTGCACGCAAAGTGATGTGTCCCAGATGACACTAGGAAAGAACCCAGGTGTAGGGACTGCAGTTCCTTTGAGTGGCCTCGGGTGTAGATCAGGTGGGAACCATGAGGATGGGCGTTGTCGGGCCACAAGCTTAACAGAGAAGGACTCCCGTGCTATGGAAATCTGACCCAGTAATGGAGGCCAGGGGCGGCACATGGTGGCTTGTTGGTGTCCCCAACTTCCTGGACAGTCGCATCTGCAGCCCAGCTGTGGCAGACCCTCACTGCACTCACTGGCATGAACAGCCTAAAATGACCACCACCACTGCATGGCAGGGTGAGAGTTAGGGTTACAAGGCATCTGGAGTCGCCCCTGCCTGCCCTCTGGCTCCCAGCAAAAAGCAGGCATTTTCTCAGCAAGGATAGAAATGGCAGTGCTGGAGGAGATGCAGTGCACCCAGGCTCAGCCCTGTTTTATGAGATGGAAGTCCAGTAACATCATTGATTCAGCGCTGTCCTCTCTTCTGTCCTGAGGTTTCTCATCATAATGGAGTAAAATAACACAGGAGCATGGTCATCAGAGATAACCTGACAGTGATCCACAGAGCCAAAAGAAATAAAGAACAGCTCTCCCAAGAGTACACGGCATGTTGTGGCACTTGGTGAGAATTATTGAATAACCAGGTGATGGTTGTGAATTGAAAATGTGACTGACGCTTGTTTTCAGTTCCTGTGACTGTACCATCCATGATGACAGCCACTAGTCACAGGAGGCTATTTAAGATTAAGTTGATTAAAGGAAATTAAAAACATAGTTCTTCAGCCAGAGGCAAATGCTCATTTGCTGCCTGTGGGTCCTGGCTCCATATTGGACAGCTTGGAATTATAGAACATTTCCGCCATTGAGGAAAACAAAGCCAGGAACAGACTCTAAAAGCAAGTGCGCCCCTTACCTGAATCCTGATGGCCATGCATCAGGTAAACAGGGTCCAGTTTAAAGGCTCCTATTAGGTCTGTCCTCTGTTTTACCCTAGTTGGAGAGAACAAAGGATGGGTGTTTGTGGGTTAAATCTAAAATGTCCCCTCAAAGTCTCCTGCGTGTGGAAGGTGATTGGGTGGGGTGCTCTATTCATCAGTGGTTCATCCTGGATGAGTTCGAGGCTGACTGTGCTGTTAGGAGGCAGGGCCTGGTTGGAGGTGGTCACCGGGGGTGACCTGGAAGGGTAGATTCCTGTCCCCAGCTCCTCCCTTATCTCTGCTTCCTGGCTGCCATGGGATGAGCAGCTTCTGCCCACCAGGCTGTTCTCCCATGCTGTGTCTGTCTTGGAGCCAGCTGACCACGGACAGAATCCACTGGAAACTTGAGCCAAATATACCTCCCTTCTTTAAATTGTGGGTGTCAAACAAAGAAAGTGACTAAGACAGTAGGGATCATGAACCAGCATGTGGATTGGTCCACACTGCCTGCTTCCCTCACCTGGCCCAGGCCTGCCTGAACCCTGCGTTCACCCTGAGCACCCTGCTCCCAACATCCCGGCCTCAGGCCCACCTAGCACCCATGTGTGTCTGCAGAACGGCAGCTAGGGGTGGTGATAATAACAAATCAACATCAGCTCTTTGCCCTTCCCTTTCCAAAGCCCTACAAGCTCTGAAACACTGAGTGAGTGTTGAGTGTCTTTTGATGGTAATGAGAAAACCCAGCCTGGTTCGGGATGGGGACTTCTCACCAGAAAACCCACGCTACTCCTGAGCGAGGGTTGGAACTTTCAGCCCCAGCCCTTGGTCTCCAAGGAAAGGAGACAAGCTGGAGCCTGAGCTGGAAGAGACTTAACCAGCCATGCCTAGATAATGACAGCTCCGCACGAACACCTCCATGGCAGGATTCAGAGGGTTTCGGGCTGCTCAGCACCTCCAGGTGGTGGGCAGCAGGAGAGGACCAGGAGGCGCCATGCCCCACCCTGGCCCCGTGCGGACCCACACCTCACACTGTGCATTCCTCCATCAGCTGTTCCTTCTGCACCCTTCCTAATGGATCTGTCAGCGTGCATCGACACCTCCAGAAGTCCTGTGAGGCATCCCAGCCAGTCAGCCAGCATGGAGCAGGGGCTGTGGATAGCCCCGACTTTCTGTGTGTGTCAGACAGCACCATGGAGATCTGCGACCCTGGCCCTTGAGAGTGGTGTCTGAAAAGGAGGTGACCTTGCAGGACTGAGCCCTGACCCGAGGAGTCTGTCACAAACTTTGGGGGGTGCAAGTCGGAGAAGGGCCGAACTGAAAGGCAGCCAGCTGGTGTCTGCTGAGGTGGGAGCAGTGTCCGGAGGAAAGAAGCAGACAGATCCTGTTTATTCCTCCGTGAGGGCCCAGGAATGTGCCGGGTGATTGCGTGGTCGTCCCACACTGTGGACGTGGCCCTGCTCCCCAGTCTGCCCTTGCAGCACGCGTGGTGACAGCCAGCTCCCCCAGGAACTGGGCCCAAAGGGCCTGGCTTTATGCGAATGGTTGCTCCTTGCACTGCTCAGCGTGGATGCCATCTCAAAGCCACTCTGTGGCATACAAAGGATCCTGGGTCAACCAGAGAAGAAATGTGGGCAGAAGACTCGGCTTAGAACCAGCGCAGTGGGACAGTCTTGGAGAGGGGTCATCCAGTGGGCGTGCATAGGACGCCGAGGTGCGGCACCCCAGGGAGGAGGTGGGGAGAAAGGTCACTGCCACCTCGCTTCTTCGGAGGGGTTAAGGACACACCGTTCACCCCTGAGGTTGAGCTGCCCGGTCTGTTCTGTCTCGGGCTGCTCCTGCTGTGCGCTCAGGACAGGCGTCTTCTGAGAAGCCAGAGGCTTCCCTCCCTCTGCTTTCCGGAGAGCACTCGGCCCAGCTCGAAAGATTGGGGACAGAGAAGGACGAATACGAGTAACACAGCACCCTCTGTCGGTCATCCGCGGAAACACTTCCCTTCCTGGGCCCAGCCTGACTTCTAGGTTATTTTTTTGGTGTCAGAGATCAAACTCGGGACCTCGAGCTTGCAAGGCAGGCGATGGAACCACTGAGCTAAATCCCCAGCCCTAGTTATTTTTTTAATTAAAATATTATTCAATGGGGCCGGGGATTTGGCTCAGTGGTTTTGCCGCCTGCTGTGCAAGCAGAAGGATCTGAGTTCCATCCCTGGCACCAAAAAAAAAAAAAAACATTATTCAATGTTAAGTTACACAGAAGGGTATAAAGAATACTATCTCTATTCCGTTCTGAAGAAATCAAAGCTCAATTTTAAATAAAAGTTAAACGTCACTTCTGGTCCCTCCTTACGGTCTTGCTCTCTGGTCCACACAAGAGGCAGCAGGCTCAGCATTCTACAGACTTCTGGACAAACCCTTGAGCAGCGTATAGAATTATTTTGTTTGTGAACACAGCGTAACAGAAACTTAAGTTGTCTGGTTGTAAAGGGCATCCTCCTTTGTGTGTTTTTGTTTTTTGTCTCATTATGTAACCCAGGCTGGCCTCCAACTCAAGATGATCCTCCTGCCTCAGCCTCCCAGGTGCTGGGATTATAGGCATGTGCCACCATGCCCAGTATATTTTTCTGCAACTTATGTTTTCTCCAAAAATATACTTTTGTATTTCACACTCGTTCACATAGGAAGCTCTTGGTCATTCACTTCCGCTACCTCGTTGGATTTCACTGCACAACACATTTTTTGTTGTTTTGTTTTTGGTACTGGGGATCGAAGTCGGGTCCTTGCGCTTGCGCAGCAGGCGGCAAAACCACTGAGCTAAATCCCCAGCCCATTGCACAACACATTTACATCCCTTCATCCTCCTGGTGTTTCACTTTATTGCCAGACACACTACCCTGCTATGAGCATTTCTGTGGGTCTTCCTTACTGAGTGTGGCAGGCATGGAGGAAATGCACATGCTTGTGCTGTCTAGTAAAGGCCATATTGGTCCCCGGTGCTGGCATAGCTACAGACTCCATGGTTCTGCAGCCGGGCCAACATTTCCCATGAAGATGCTTCATTTCCAACAACCTCCAATACTTCACCGGTTCTTTTTCCCCTGAGAATGGAACCCAGGGCCTCGTGCATGCTGGGCAAATACTCCCTGCCTCTGTATAACACCCCCAGGCATTCCTGATAACTAATAAAGTGAATTAATTGTGCATTTTGAAAGAGGCCACAGCTGTTACTCTTTTGGTGAGGAACTTATCGTTCACGTTCCCATGCGATTGCCGCTGCCATCCGGCAAATCCACAAGTACTCAGAATGCTGATTTGCATGTGTTGGGCTCGCCATCTCTCTCTGGGGATCTGACCCCTCAGAGCCTGCATGGGTACAGGAGTGCTGAATCCTTGCTGACATTCAACGATGCAATATTCTTATCCCAATTCTCCTGGCCACTCCAGCGTTGCTGTTAACCCAGCCGGAATATTTCCTAAATTGCACTGAGGTCTGACATTGTAGCTGCCTAGGCAGACAGCATATCACCAGGGGGTTGGGACATCATTAACAACCTCCAAAAACCCTGAACGTTTTCATATGTTTATTCATGGTGGTCTTTTGGTTTTTTGCTATTGTAGAGTATTTCTTTTTAAAAATATTTACATATGCTGTTCAATGTAGATATAAAAAGTGCAATCTTAAAAATGGTAGTCTACCTAGAAATCATCCTGTGTTCTCCTATTCCTGCTAATACTTTGAAGATTCTCTTTTTATTGCAGGTGGTCGCCTCGTTTGAGAATATTGAGCATTTCTACTCTCCCACTTTACCCCTTACACGTTTACTTCTTTATCTTTTCTTACTATGCAGGGTAGGGGAATACAGGGTTGGATAGAAGTGAGGATTAAGTCTAGGGACTAGGGGAATCCTTATTTTTTTTCCTGATTTTAAAGCAAGTGCTTCTAATATTTCACCATTAACGATAGGCTGGGGCTTGGTTTTGTTTTCAGTGTTTTCTTTTATCAGACAAAGAAAGTTCTTTTCTGTTCCTACTTTTCTAAGACTTGCTGTCCTGTGGGCATTAAACTTTACCTAGTGTTTTTTCTGCACCTTAGGCAATGATAATTTTATTTCTCCTTCACTGTCTAACGCCACAGATGACTTAAGAAAACTCACCTCCCATCAAACCACCCTGGCGTATCTGGAATAAACACAGGTGGTCACGCTCCCCTCAGCGACACTGTAAACATTGTTTGGTTCCACTGGCTAGTGTGCAATTAGAACTTTACCTGTGAAGTTCCTGCATGTTCCACAATGTTGTGTTCTCAGCTTCTCATCTGGATTTAAAATCAGCGGTATAAGCAACATGCGCCATTCTTTGAGCTACACTTCTGTCAGGCTGAGGCCTTGCTGGTAAGAGAATCGGGCTATTTCTCTTGCAAGAAAATCGAGCCATTGGCGTGTTGTAAGATTCTTCATGTTTTGGGTTAATTTTTGAGTCTGTTCTGGTAGAATTCCTTATAGTCAGTCAGGGTACATGTATATTGTGGATAATTCCAGGTGTGGCGTTACCATACTGTTTTTGAAATCCAGACAAAGGATCTGTCATGACACCTTTCTTTCTTATTTATTCACTCACTCATTTATTCATGTACAGGGTGCTGGGGACGGCCCCAGGCTTCCCACAAAGGAGGCAGGTGCCCTATCATCCAGTTATACCCCAGTCCTTTTGTTTATTTAAAAATTTTTTTTTAAATTTCATACTGGGGATTGAACCCAGGGCCTTTGTACTGAGACACATCCCTAGTCCTTATATTTGTTTGTTTTGAGACAGTGTCCGGTTTAATTGCTAAATTGCCCAGGCTGGACTCAAACTTGTGATCCTCCTGCTTCGGCCTCCCCGGAGTGCTGGGGTTGCAAGCATGTGCCACCAGGCCCACATAAGCCTTTCTTTTAAACGTAGATAATATATAGCTCTGGCTTGTGTGGGAGAGAAGGGCTTTTTTGGAAAAGATCTGATATTAAAGGGACATTAAGCTCTAAACAGAGCAGTTGACATTTACATATAAAAGATTAAAACTCCAAATAAACAATAAAAACCATATAAGAGAAATAATGAATTCATTAGGCAATGTATTAACTGTGTTTGTAATGACTGCCAGTTTTAGAAACTTCAATTATCTTGTCCACTTCAATATTGAAAGAATAGAATCAAAGTATTTATATTAAATGAAGGACTAACCATTGGTAAAATTTCATTAAATGAAAGAGAAACTTCTTATTTTAAGGAATACAAAAAAGTCAGTGAGAGCAATTTTAAAAATCCATTTTTATGTTGTTTGTTGAATTAGTGAAACGTTGAAAGATATCTGTAATAAATTCACACTGAAAACTGTCTGCTTGTTTTCAATTTTTCTTTTATTCTCATTCTCTGTCTCTCTCTGTCTCTCTCTGTCTCTCTCTATCTCTCGCTCTCTCTCTGTCTCTGTCTTTTTTTTTTTTTTGGTACCTGGGATCGAACTCAGGACCTTGTACTTGGGAGGCAGACAGCGGCACCTCTGAGCTGCATCTCTGGCCCTGGCCCTGTCTGATTTGAGACAGCCTCACCGTATAGTTCAGGCTGTCCTCACACACTTCCTGTGCTGGTCTTGAACTTGTTACCCTCCGGCCTCAGCCTCCCACATTCTCAGTAGTTTTCAGTTGTTTCTTCTCTCTCTCTCTCTTTCACACACACACACACACACACACACACACACACACTGAGGACTGAACCCAGGGCCTTCACACTGAGCGACATCCCCAGCCCTTTTTATTTTTTATTTTGAGACAAGCTCTTGCTAAATCCCTAAGTTGCCTGAGCTGTGCTCAAACTTGCACTCTTCCTGCCTGCCCTCGCGGTCAGTCTGCGGTGTCGGTGACATGGACCAGTCCTGGTGTGAGAGAGCCCTCATTTTCCCAGACACAAGTCTCACCCAGATCCCAACTGCTGATGCCCAGACCCCACCCCTGGGGGTGGGGAGCTGCATCTTCAGCATGGTCTCCTCCCGGGCCTCCAGCCTTCCAGACCCACACACGGGGAGGAGCCAGAGACCCTGGCCTCGCCCACTGCTGACCCCTGGCAGGTTAGGCGGCCTCTTCCCGTCCCCAAGGCTGCTCCCTGCCTCTCCTGCGCCTGTCAGGCAGGGTTCCCTAAACCCCACTCCTTCCACCTTCCCAAAGGACCGAATATCCCGGCAGAGCAAAGCTACATCTCAACCAAAACTAAAATTTTCAAAAAAAACTTGACACACTGTACTATAAGCTGCTCTCACCATGCCTCACTCTCCATGACACAGAAAACACAACCACAGGAACATTGAGAAGCACTCGCATCTAAGGCTGAAATGCCCATATCCTCATTGGGTTTAGCTGGACATGGTGGTACAGGTGCCTGTAATCCCAACACTCTAGGAGGCTGAGACAGGAGGATAGCAAGTTCAAGCCCAGCCTGGGCAATTTAAAAAGACACTCTCTCAAAAATTTAAAAGGGACTGAGTATGTAGCTCAGGGTAAAGGGACTGACAAAAAAAGTGAACTGGTTTTAAAATTATGTATCAAAAGTTAGGGGGGAAAGATTATGACAATAAAATAATTTAAATAGTAGTAAAGGATGGGAATGTGGTTTGCTTTTGGGTACACCAGGCAAAGGACAAACTGACCACCTGTAAAGTGGGGCACTCAGTATTAGACTGGGGGCAGCCGCAGGCCTTGTCCTCGCTAACTAATTGCACACGGAGCAGTTCTGCAGAGTGGAGCATGCTGCACATTTTCAAAAGTCTGCAATCTTGTACCCTGCACAGAATTCATGGACAGCTGCCTGGAACTCTCGCGGTCTCGCAGTTTGACACATGCATAAAATCCATACACGGCCCCTGTCCTCAGAGGCATTAATCACAGTTTCTTACTCTAACGGATCTCGAAGAACAGGTTTGTAGCGCACCTGCCCCCCCGCCCCGCCCAGAAGTCTCTACTTCTTCAAACGTCACACACATTGTGTAGCACCACTTTAAGGTCTGAATTCCTTTTCTTACCTTCAACAAAATCAAAGTGATTGTGGCACTGTTATGAAGAATTTCTGGGGCATTTCGACTTGGATTGCTTTAAACCTAGCATCAGACTGAGACAGATAATGAGCTGAAGGATAGAAACACGGAAGCCACCGAGGGCCAGGATGTCCTGAAATTTCCTTGGATTTGTTTTCTCCTAAAGTTAGATAAATCACGCTGCAGATGTGTCTCTCCTCCTGCCTTCTGCCAGTCCGTTGCAGCAATGTGTTCTGGATAAAAGTTTGCAGCCAGACTTCGATTTAGCAAGAATTCCCTCAGTGGCTCAGAGGTCGCCAGCAGCGAGCTTAGCCACTAGCTGGGCCCACAGCCTGCTCACCCTCACCTTCCTATTACTGTCAGGCAGGGCCAGGTCCTCGAGAGGGTTGAGACAAAGGTGAAACACACCACAGCAGCGACCAGAGACACAGGCCTCCAGATAAAGACAAGATGACCAGGCCTGGATGCTTCCTCAAAGGACAAACATTGGGCCTAATGAAGCCTAGGCAGACAGCAGCCACCCAGTGGGTGACCAGAGAGCTCTGCACCTGCCACTTCCTAGGAGAATCTTTGCTCTTTCAATCCACACTTGGTACGTGACTTGTTTCCCAATTGGACCAGTGTCACCTAAGCCACTGAACTTGTAACCCCATTGGATGATCACGGCTGTGGCCCACGTTTCACCCACGTGGGTTTCACCCTGTAAAACTCCTCTGTAAAGTGGGGTCCCGGGCTACCCACTCAAGACCTCAGGAGCTTTCCCATCAATAAACATCTTCCTACTTTTAACCTCCATTGTTCCTAGAATTCATTCTTCGATTTTCAGAGACTACCATACAGCTAACAGTTGGGAGATATAGTATTTCATATTTCCTCTCTGGTATTACTTCCTGTGACATTATCAGCCACTGTCCTCTCCCCAGGACACTGGCGGGGACACTTACCACATGGCGGAGCAGTCGAAATTCACCAACAGCCATTTGTGGGGGTTGAAGTTAAATGAGTCTGCAAACTGAACAGAAGGTAAACATATAAGTTGTCAAGATGCAGGTATCAAACGAGACCCCAGATGTAATCATTAAAAGTTGATATACCCAGATGAAAAGCACTTTCGGATTTTCACAGAGTCATGTGAATTCATCCATGTTATGTCTCAAAGTATACTGGAATATTTGGAATACTTAATTCACAAATGCTATGGGCAGAAATTCCACTGATTAGGCCCGTGAAATACCTCACACCCACAGTTCCTCCAACATCCTGAACTAGTGAACTTCGCAGAGTACCTGAATCACCCTCAATACTGAGACAGTGACAGCCTCACGTCTAATCTTCAATAATCAGGGAGAAATTCATTTTTCATTTAACTGATTGTCCTTGGCCAGCACACCACTGATGGTGCAACTCTCCCTACACCTCACCCTTTTATGCAATTTTGAGACAGGGTCTGGCTAAGTCTCTACGTTGCCCAGGCTGAGCTGAAATTTGCAGTCTTCCTGCCTCAGCCTCCCAGTTTGCTGGGATTATGGTCATGAACCGCCATGCCTGGCTGCTCTTTACTTGTGAAGATGACTCCCAAGTTCACTGCACTCCTGACAGCTGTGATCAGGTGGCAGCTGCAAACAACTGTCTCCAGATCTGTGCACCATATTTGCAAGGCCACTGGGTGGCCAAGGACAGTCAGCACTGTCACTGAGCATGCCCTGCTCCGTCATCAGGCGGATGAGGGGGAGCTGCACCTCCACGGCCAGGGACTGGCCAAGCACAGCTAACAGCAGGCAGGGGCTGTGTACCAGCTGCTTGGGTGTTGCCCGTGGGGACCGTTCACGCACTGTGCAGCCCTGTCTGGCTGGTCTCAAGGTGAGCACCCAGTCAGGGCCAGGCGGGGAGGCACTGGGACCCAAGGACCCATTCCACCCTGCAGGCCCCGATTCCTTTCTTCCCCAGATTAAAAAAATCTAACTTTGAAAAAGAGACAGGAAATTACAGCCAGGTTTCATTTGTTGATAAAAGGAAGCAAAAGGTTAAATGAGGTGCTTTGTTTGCTTGGGATTTCATGAGCTTCCTCCTCCTCCGCTCTGTTTAATCTTCTTTCATCACCCAACAGCGCTATTCCCCTCCAGCAACAGAGAAAGCGCTTATCTCAGGGTGAGGCTGAGACAGGATATTGCAGCTTGCTTGTCTGAGCTGCTGAGCAGCTGAGCCCTCTGCAGAAAGAAGGGGGGTGCTAAGGGGCCAGAAGGGGGAGGGGAGGAGTCTGGAGGCTCCTTGCTAGGCAGGAAGTGCTGTCTGGCACTGATAGGATCTGCCGGCAGCCAGGGCTGGGTGGTCTGGATGCGAAAGGCAGGTGACACTTAGACTTGTGAAGCAAGGCAAGATCAGGACGCCCTAAACCTGGATCACCCAGGAGCCCCGCCCAGGCCTGCCCATAAATCCCAGATGAACCTGTGGCCCTCTTCCCTTGGCCCTGTCCAGGGTGGCCACTTCAGGTAACATGTGTCATCTCCACCAGAAAAGACATTTAGAGCTGGAAGGTAATTTTAAACAATATTTTTAAGTTCTTTTATGTATGACCCAGGTGTGGTGGTGCACCCCCGTAATCCCAGAACTCTGGGAGGCTGAGGCAGGAGGATCGAAGTGGACTCAAGGTCAGCCTGGGCTACATAGTGAGTTCAAGGGCAGCCTGGACTACCCAGCAATGTTTCCAGAGAGATAGGAAGGGGCTCTGAGAATAGGAGGAGACAGGAGGAAAGAAAGCGAAGGGAAAGAAAAGGAATCAAGATACAGTGTCTCTAGGGCCAGTTCCCCACGATGAATGCATTTACTACACATTGCAAACTTACACTAATAAAAAAGGGGGAATAAAACATAAAACTTCCATTGGTGATATCATGTCAGGGAGCACAAAGCTTCCGACATTGGAGCACTTTGGGTCTTGGAATTTTGGATTAAGAATGCTCAACCTGTAGAGACTTATTCTTCACTTTGTAGCACAAAACACTCACCCCAGTAGCTGTGCTCTGAGAACTGAGGGGAGCCAGGTGTGAGGAGCCCCATCTCCTCAGAACTTCTCACAGGCGGCAGCCCCTCCCTGTACTTAGGTTTTTGGGAGCCCCCCAACCCCCAGGATCCAGCTAAACTCTCCATGCAGGAAGCTCTGATGAGCAATTACTGAATGAATGGCCGAATCAATCGAGGGGGATCTAAACCCCAGGGCTATTAGACTCTGGAGTGATCAGAATTGTTCTTTCCCCCAGTTGGACCATTTGTATTCTGCACCTCTGCCACTCTCTGGCTGGAGTTACAGCATTATGAGAATTCAAAACAGTAGCTGGAAAATGGATTGGCTAGGAGATGTACAAGCAGAGAGGGTTTGGGGGAAAAACTAATGATAGCATCAGATGTGTGCTCAGCAGGGCTGCTCTCCCTGCCTGCAGGGCTCTCTCACTCTTGATATGATTAGCTCATCTGCTCCCATGGCACACCCATAGCTGCCTGATCTGTTTGTGAGGCAGACAGAACCCCTGACCTGAGGGCTTTAATTACCCTTTGAATGAGATGTACTAAAACTTTCTTTTGTCCCTAAATATTCCCCACCCCCATGTTCTTTTAAGCTAAAGTCTATGCCATTGCATGCACAGCTCTGCCCCAGATTTGTGCAGACTGGAGGGGAAGACAGCTGTGGGCCTCAGGAGTACTGCTGGGGTACAGGCGTGGGACCAAGGCAAGCTTGCAGCCTTCTGAGGGAGCAACACTGGCGACGATCGCCCGGATGGGGTGGAAATGAAGTGTCAGATTCTCACAAAGGAAGAAGGCACCCATAACTTCGTGCTTTTAAAAAGAACCTTGAACATAGGCATGGGGGCGCACACCTGCAATGCCAGCAGTCTGGGAGGCTGAGGCAGGAGGATTGCAAGTTTAGCCCAGCCTGGGCAACTTAGCAACTTAGTGAGACCTTGTCTCAAAATACAGAATAAAGGGGCCAGGGATTTAGCTCAGTGCAAGCACAAGGTCCTGAGTTAGATCCCTAGTACAAAAAAAAAAAAACAATAAAAAGGGCTGGGGATGGAGCTCAGTGCAAAGGTCCTGGGTTCGATCCCCAGTACCACAGAAAGAAAAAGAAAACGACGTTGGGCTGAGCTGCAGTACAGGGTTAGCGCGCTCACCTAGCATGAGGGACCGTGGGCTCTGCCCCAGCACAGCAAAAGGGTGGGGGACAGGGGCTCCAGGCACCCACCTCCACCCCATCCAGGAGGTGCCGGAACTCCGGGCAGATGAAGGCGCTGCCTGCGTACGCCGCGTCGATGTGCAGCCACACGCGCTCCTTGTTGCCTGTAGCCGGAAGCAGCCGAGAGTTCACATGCAGGGGTCGTCCACCGCCCTGCACAGCCACGGGACTTCGGCAGCAAGGCCACCTGCGGCCGCGGCCCTGCTCCGCGCAGTCCCTCCCCAGGGGAATGTCCCCCGAGTCTCCTCAGGGATCCAGGCCCAAGCGCCCGCTGCCGCCCTCCGGGGCGCGCTCTTCCCCGTGAAGCCAGCTCCGCGTCCAACCGCCCTCCACCGCCCTAGTCCAGCAGAGACAGCACTGCTGTCTCCAGCCTCTCCGCAGCCGCCTCACAGGCACAGCCTCCAGGTTGGCCCGAGCCCTCTGCCCAGACACTCTGGGTCCTCCTGCCCCTCTGCCCCACCGCTTCGTTCTTTTCACAGGCAGAGGAGAGAGAGGTGGCGCCGCCCCAGGACCTGTGGTCACAGCTGTGGAGCTGCACTTGGCCCCGGGGAGAAACGGATGCGATGCCCACAGCCGGGCCCTCCCTCAGCCCCACCGGGATCCTGCGGGTCCCCACCGCTGGGAGGAGAGGCCACTCGGCTCCGCCCACAGAGCCGTGGAAGGCATTTCCAGCTTGGACTCGGATCCATCTGCAGGGACAAAGCCTTCAGGCGGTCAAGACCCAAGACCGAAGGTGTGGCAAGGACCCCAGCAGCACCTCGCCAGCACAGAGCTCTCCAGGAGTCGGTGGCCAGTGCTATCAGGATCCTGGCCCACGCCAGACACCCAGGCGGCCAGGGCTGGGATCTGAGGCTCCTGGGGCCTCGAGTGTCCAGAGGCGGGGTCTTCGTGGGAGCCTGGGTCCCTGAGCTGCTCCCTGGGCAACTGGCCTGGTGCAGAGTAGACTGTGTGCAGCAGGGGTGTCTGGGCGGGAGAGGCAGCTGGAGCCTGACCCGGGGGACTCTTCCTGCCCCTGTGCCGGCTTCCTCACCTCTGTGCTTCCTATGCACCATGGCCTGAGCAGCTTTCCTCCCTCCCTGCCTGCCTGCCTGCCTGCCTGCCGGGAACCCGCTGACCAGGGAGCCCCTGGAAAGCACTGAGCCAGGATGAACCTCTCCTCCTCAAGTCAAGGGTGCTGGGTCTCCTGTCCCAGGGACGAGGAGTGACTGAGACAAAGCATGGACAGCTGGGGTTTCTCCCTGGGAGCTGCGGGCTGATGGTGGCACTGTTGCTTTCCTTTGATGCACTGTGGGCTCAGCAGGGCTTTGTGTCCTTAGGAGGATGGGGCAGCGGCCTGGCAGCATGCTGTGTTCCAGACGTCTGCTCCTTCAGGATCTGTGCATTACCCCCTCAGCCCCGGTGACCATGTGAGGAGGCGGAGGCTTTGGTGATCATGAGGGGCCCTCAGGGTGGGATCGGTGACTTCATCACACTCAGCTTGGCGTTTGTCCCAGCACTCAAGGGGGCTGAGGCAGGAAGGTCGAAAGTTCAGGCCCAGCCTGGGCAACTCCAAGATGTAGGGAGACCCTAATCACTTGGACCTGGCAATTCTTCTGCCTCAGCCTCCCAGAGAGCTGGATGCCCAGCTAACAGATTCTACCACAGGATGAGGCCTGCTCAGGCTCGGGAACACGGTGCCTGGGCTGAAGGACACCAAGAACTTGCGGACAGTCACAAGCAAGGCCTCCCTTGGATGCAGGACGTGGGCTGAACGGCGCTGACTCCACTGCTGTGCTAGTTACTCTGCCCTCTGTAGCCGCTGGCCGTGAATGAAAGGGCTCCAGTGTTGAAGTGGCCCCTGGGAGGAGATCAAGCAGCTTGGGTCCCTCTGGCCCAGCCCTGGTCTGCGGAGGTCAGCAGGAACGCTGTGCTCGCTGGGGCTGTCACCTCGCCAGCCGGGTGGGCGCAGAAGTCCTGGGCACCCTGAGCCCAACAGCAGCCAGGGATTGCATCAGGCCTGCTGGCCGGAACGTCCAGTTCCCAGTGAGTCTGGGGCAGGGACTTGGAGCTGGCGGAGCTGGCGGGGCTTCAGAGGAGGAGGCCAGGCAGAGGCCTCCCCAGCTGCTGGTCCCTGTCCCTCCCAGCTGGCAGCCTTACAGGTCCTGACAGCTGTCCGCCACATCAGAGCCAGGGGACACGCACGGGGAACAGGCAGGCCTGTGCCTCGGGCCTTCCTGCAGGTGTGAGCACCTGGCACCTGGGCGCAGTGACCCGGTGCACAGTCTGCAGGGCTACAGGGCCTGACCAACTTGACGGGGCAGTGCTGACATGGAGGGCAGAGGCGGGAGCTTCGTACAGATCGGCCGTGGTGTGGACCTGGGCCCTGTGGAGCCCCGGAGTCACACATTAAATGCAGAAGGGCGGAGCTCGCTGGCCATTGTGGGCCTCTTTGGACAGGACTGCGGTCTCCATGGGGACCTGGGTGCCCGCCTGAGGCGGAGGAGGCCGGCGAGAACAGAAAAGCACCCAACACCCCAGGAGCCGCTGGGGCCTGTCTGTCATGCGTCAGATTGCTGAGCTCCGCAGTTCACTGGCAGATAACCCGCAGGCCCTGGGACGCACCCTTCGGCAATGCCGTCCTTGTGCACACGTCATAGCGCGTGCATACCCAAGCCCAGCTGGTACAAGTTCGTGCACACGCCAGCCTGTGGCATGCACCCCTATGTGCGGTCCATCCTCAATGCAGGGACAGTTTGTGGCTGTAAGTCCCCCAGAAAAGCTGCAACAATGGGCATGCCAACCGGGCAAGGTGGTGCACTTCCTAATCCCAGCACTCAGGCACTGAGGCACAGAGTTCTGAGTTCAAGACGAACTCAGGCAACGTAGCAATAAAATATGATACTTAGGAAATGGCCGGGGGTAGCTCAGGTGAAGGAGTGCTGCTCCCAGCACCACCAAGGGTGTGGAAGACCCAGCGAACAGAAGGGAGCAGGTCCCTTGTGATGCGAAGGTCAGGCACTCAGGGACGAGTACGGGCTGAAGCTCTGGAATCAGAAAGCCCTCGGTGGGGCAGGGAGCCAGCAGTGTTCCATCAGCCCTGCAGGTGCCAGGTGCTCTTGCTCCTCAGGAACAAATGCACAGTGCATTTGTAGAGCTGCCCTCGGCTCTCAGCCAATTGGCCCAAGCTCGGGACCCCCAAAGAGGAAGGCTGGGAAGGAACCGGAAGCGACACTTACAGAGAGGACCCACTTCTAGGAGGTTGTCGAAGGAGCAGCAGTTTGTCGTCCCCAGCGTGGCCACCACCTGCAGGGACAAAGCAGACACTGTTCTCATCTCTCAGGGGAGTCAGGGCTGCTCACCCAGGGCCTCCCACTCTGACTGAGAGACCATCATCATGGAGACAGGACCAGCGGGAGCTCCAGGCTGACAGACCAATTTGCAGACCGGAAGCTGAGCTGAATGTTGGGAATGGGGCACTTGGGAAAGATTTCGAAGCACGGCAGCTCGAGAGACAGGAGAGAAGGATTCTCTGCGGTCACTTGGAAGAATTCTTCCAGGTCAAAGATTCTTGGAGTGTTTGGGGTCAATTAAGACCCACAACAGGAGGCTGAGGCAGGAGGATTGAAAGTTCAAGGCCAGCCTGGGCCACTTAGTGATTTAATGAGATTCTGTCTAAGATTTAAAAAGTACTGAAAAAAATGTTTATACAAGCAAACAGTCTGATTTAGGGTGTCACATTCTGTCTGGATAATGACATTTCTCCTCAGCTAGGACAAGTGTGACATTTAATGCAATTTGTGGATCCTTACTGAATCCTTACTGGGGTCTGAGCCATTCAGCAGGCCCTGAGGACGAACCTAGAGGGGGGAAGTTCACCCACAAGCCCCGGGAGGAGGCCTTTGCTTCTGCAGGACCTGTGGCGGCCACGCCCACCTCTCAGGAGAGGCGAAGCCCAGGGACTAAGAAGAGGGCAAGCTCTCTGCTCGGGGGCTTTTGCTCTTCAGCACTGAGGACGGGACCCAGGGCCCTCGTCACACTGAACTGCACCCCCAGCCCTCTCTTTGGCTTTTGTTGTGAGACAGGATTGCGCTAAGTGACCAAGGTACACAGGAAGACTCCAACTCTCGATCCTCCTTACTCAGCCTCCCGGGGTGCTGGTACCACAAGTGGCGCCACCACGCCTGGCTACACTGGTGCAGGGTCCCGCCACTGTTTCTCAGAAACACGGCCAGGCACCCGTGTTGCGCCCCAGGATGTGGCCGTGCAGGGGCTGAGCCGTGCCCCGCACCCCGGGAGCTGTCCCCAGCCCACCAGAGCCGGCCCGTCCATAGATCTGGGTCAGCACTACCCAAGTGTGACGACCCCGGAGACCGCACCGGGGACTGTGCCCAAGAGGAGGACATGGCTGCCCCAGGGCCTGGGGAGGCAGGGAGAGGGGCCAGGCCACGGTGAGAGGACAGGAGGGGTGGCCCTGATCTCTGGGACCTTGTCTAGCCCACTGAGGCAGGAGGACAGGGCATCGCAGGCACTGAGCCTTCTCTGGACTCTACAAATGCACCAAGCAGGCGCTGCCCAGGCAAGCGGCCCCAGGGCATGGATTCTCCCTACCTCAACCCTCTCCTGGTCCCCCCTCTGCCCCCTCCCAGGTGCCCCGCCTCGTCCCGAGCATCCTGCATCCGCACTCTGCCTTCCTCTGGGCAGGGAGCCATTCCGTGGGAACCTAGCTAGGGGAGAGTTTTCTCTGGGCTGTGCAGTCCCATCTGAGAGTTGATTGAATATTAAAGTGCATTGTTCAAGGAACCTGGCTATAGGCAGACAGGAGACTTCATGTGCTCTCTGTGGCCTTAAGGGACAGTCAAAGTCACGGTTCAGATGCCACAGCGTTGCTGCACACCAGCACCACCCGCTCCTCTTACACTCTGCGAAATGACTCATCTGGGAGGCGCCATCCCGTTTTCCTCACTTAGATGTCAATGGAGCTGAAGAAAGGCAAGGACACCAGCTATCGAGTTACACGTGTGTCCAACCTCCCTCGCCTGGCCCAGGTGGTCACCAGCTCACAACCGCTGGCATCCCCAGAGGAGATTCTGGCCGGCTTCATCACAAAGCCTCATCACCCCATTCCCTCAGGAAAAGACATTTATTTGTAACGTCATGAGCATTTCTGTAGAAGCAATAAAATTCTGCTTTGTGCTAGAGTAGATCTACTGAGCATAAGAGTGGCATTTTTCCTTTCCTTCCTTCTCCTTCTCTCTTTCTCTTTCTTCCCATTTCTTTTCCCAGTACCAAAAAAGCAAAACAAAACAAAAGCCACAACTGTCTTTCTCTCTCCTATCTTTCCCCCTCCTCCTTCTCCTCCTCCTCCTCCCCCTCCTCCTCTTTCCCTTCTTTTCCTCCTTCTTCTTCCTCCAGTAAAAGAAGTTGAGCTCAGGGCTTTAGCACTGAATTACACCCCAGCCACATTTTGTTTTGAGACAAGGTCTTGCTAATTTGCTTAAGTTGCCCACATTGGGATCAAACTCGTGATCCCCCTGCCTCAGCCTCCTGGAATGCTGGGAAGATAGGCGTCCAGTACCATGGCCATCTGAGTAGCATTTTTTCAGTGCTGACTTGATGGCAAGACTTAACGCTCAGAGCTGCTCCTTGCTCACATTTAACCCTCACAGCAGCCTCCTTAATCTGTCCCTGGCTTCACAGTCGCCTGAGGCAGCACAGATGGGTGATTGTGCTGCCCACATACAGCCTCAGGGCCAGAGTGGCGCAGGCTCCCTTCCCTCCTTCTTGTTAGCCGGCTGCATCTCGACAAGACAGCAGCACTTGGCCCGGGCCCTGGGTGTGGGGCACACACCTGAGATCCAGCTCTCTGGGAGGCTGAGGCAGGAGGATTGCAAGTTTCAATGCAGCCTGGACAATGTAGGGAGACTCTGTCTCAAAATTTGTAAAACAATTTTTCTTTAACCCAGGATGAGGGCTGTGGCTCAAGCTGCAGAGGAGCCCTGGGGGTGGCGGTAGATTCAGGCTGGGGGAGCAGCGGGGGCCGGGACAGGTCACCCGCCAAGCAGCCTCAGTTGTGCAGTGCACATTAGCGCTGGCACCTGCTTCCCCTGGGCTCTGATTCCCTGGGCTCAGCAGCGCCCGTGACATGATGCTAACCTGATTTCGGCCACGCACAGAGCCCTAATCAAATCTGGGCAGGCGGCGAAGTGGGGAAAGCAGGCCTGTGTCCTGAGCGCCTAAGGCCTATGCCTCCCTGCCTGGCATCCTGGAGCCCCAGCTCCCACCGTCTCCTAGCAACAGCCCCCCCCAGCTAATTTCCTTCACTCTTCAACACAAGCAGCTCTCATCATATGGAGCAGAGGGTGCCTCTGTCTTTACCACCAGGAACCCTGGAAGAGGAGAAGGTGCGGGGCTGGGCACGTGCGGCCAGGAGCACCCAGAGTGCCAAGCAGGGTTCTATGGCGAGAACCGTGGCGAACCTGTGAGCCCAGAATGCATGGCTGGGCCCCTTCTCTCTGCTGCAGTGCCTGTCTCAGCTGCTCTCGGGAGAAAGCCAACCAGGGCCTCCAGTACTTCCTAGAATTCGGTCCTTAGACCAATAATGGCCCAGCACTTGGGGCCTGAGGCAGGAGGATCACAAGTTCAAGCCCAGCCTGGGCAACTAGTGACTTAGCCACACCTTGTTTCAAAATAAAAATTAAAAAATGGCTGGGGCCGTAGCTCAGTGTGAAGGCCCTGGTTCAATCCCCAGTACCAGAAAAAGAAAAAAAGGTAAAAATTCCAAGAAACTTCCAAAAAGAAAACTTGGATTTGTCAGGCACAAAATACTGTGTGTTGAATGCATGTGGGCCCTGCGACAGGCATCAGCAGGATCCTGGACACCCTGGGGCTGGGCTCCAGATGCACAGGACCAGAAAGCACCAGGCCAGTCACTCTGAAGTCCTCCTTCAGTCCCAGTTCCTCTGTCCCCTCAGGAGGCCTGCAGACCTTGCTTGCTCCCGGCCTCTCACACCTGCCCACGCCCTCCCCACTGCTCTCCTGTGTGTGACAGCCCAGCAACTCCCCCATCCCCCGCCACACCCCACCGGGCAGTGGGAGGGAGTCTTTCTGTGTGTCTTACAGAGGAACCTCGAACTCACACACATGGGAGGAAATGGCCCTGACTCGGGACCTCCCTAGGGATGGCGACTTGTGCTTCTCCAGGAAGCTGCCTCATAGCTCTCCCCATCACTCAGACCGGAGGGACCTTAGAACGACAGCGTCCTCCAGGACCCACAGGGCGCTGAGTCCAGGGCCCCTTGGACACCCAAGTCCACAGACTCGGGTCGCTGGTGTGGACTAAATCACTCCCCATGGCCAGCACCACCTCACTCGAGGTAAACACTGTGCAAAGGTTCTCAGGCCAAATTGCTTAGGGGACAAGCCAAAGGGAAAGTGGCTCCGTGGTCAGGGCTGTCGCAGTTTTCACACCAGTCTCTTCAGTCTGCAGCTGGGGAGCGCGTGGATTGAGATCCGGGTTTCAGGGCTAATGGTTCAGATCCGATTGCGCTCCTCCCAGGATGAACAGCCCTTCACTGCCTCCCAAGGCTTGGGGAGGAGCCCATCTGCCAGCACGCAGTCTCTGCGCTGTGGGTTTCTCCTCCACCAGCTCTGCCTCACATTCTCTTTTTTTTGGTACTGGGGATAGAACTCAGGTCATTGTGCTTGCGCAGCAGGCGGCGAAACCACTGGGCTAAATCCTGGCCCTCTGCCTCACATTCTTAATCCACATATTTGAATCAATTCTTCAGGTGAAGAGGAAACACTAAACATGGTGAAAGCGCTAGTCTAGGGCTGGGGGCATCTGGGGCAGACAGAATGATAACTACTCAGTCTATCCTGGGATGCAGCCATAGTGGGACAAATTAACTATGAAAACAGCTGCTTCGTGACTTTAAAACATAATTTTAACATAAGTGAAAAAATAGGTTCTAATGAAAGAACACAAAAACAGGCAAGAGGGAAATTTCTAATAAATAATTCATCACTCTCCCCTGCAACGTTATCATCACCACTAGATTTCTTTCCATAGAAGTCACTGTTTCATCATTATTTTAAAGATCACTTGTTATAAATCGGTACAGCCTTTCTGGAAGGGCATACAGCACTGGGTACCAAACTCTTTGATCAAAAGTAATTCCAGTGGTAGATACTGTTTCCAAAGAATTGATTACTGAAAGATGTGACTTAAGTAAACAAATGAATAAATGTAACTTCATACATGCACTATAAGAAAGAATCACTATAAGAAAGAATCTAAGATAAACACGGAAATATTTCACACTAAGATACTTCTAAGTGTTTTTCAAAATTCAAAATCTGAAGTATGGTTTTCACTGAACGTGTATCACTTTCATATTATCGTAAATTTGAAAACTTGTAAGTTAAGGCATTGTAAGTCTAGGGCCATATGCGTATATACCCATGTGTTAAAAAAGCATGTGATTATTGTAGTTTTTTTCCCCTTGTATTGTTCCTCTTTGAATGGTTTTATTTTTGTGTGTGTTTGATAATAAAATTATTTTTTAAAAAAGCATGTGATTACCCTAAAAGCTCACATTACAACTTCTGTTTGTAATTCCACATTTTTTGCACATGACTGGAGAGATTAATGCAATTTAAATAATTAGTTAATATCTCTGGACACGCAAGGCCCAAAGACATCAGCAACTGAAAGGAGTGGGGGCCTGGATGTGTCCAAACCCAGAGCTTTTTATGCTATTTCAGTTATGCTGGTCTGAATCCATTTATAATTGTGACTTTAAGATATTTCCTCTTTCTTTTACATCCCAGCCATGAAATGAGCAATACACTCCTGCCCAGATGGGCTGCTACCATTTATGGACTGAAATTTCTAAACCAGGAGCCAAAGCAAACCTTTTCACTTTATAAATTGATAATCTCAGGTATTTGTCATAGTGCTGGAAAACTGACTGACACAGGTACCATAGAAAAAATGTCCAGCATGGGAAGGCAGGAGGAAATGCCTATCACATTTAATGAAAATGTTGATCTGAACATGCTTATGATTCCAGCTACTGGGAATTCTGGAAAAGCCATGGAGAGACAGTCAAAGCATGATGTTGCCAAAGTTTTGGTTGGAGGGAGGGAGAAATGAAAGGTGCAAGGCAAGGTCTTTACAGCAGCGAAATAACCCTTAGGTCACTGCAAGGGTGGATATGTGTTCTTACACAGCTGTCAGAATTCATAGCAAATACAACACCAAGGGCGGCCTCTGAGGTAGGCTATGCCCTTTAGGTAATAATAATGCTCAGCCCCAGGGCACCGATTGTAACAAGTGTGTCACAGCAGTGCAGGATGCTGGTAATAGGGGAATGGCGGCACAGCCTGTGAGAGGGATAAGTGACATTGTCTCTTTGATAATTGCCTCATTGAAATTAAAAACCCTGCCCTGCAAAAGACACTGCTCAAAGACTGAAATGACCAAGCCACACACTGGGGAAGATGTCTGCAAACCTTTCAGTAAGCACCAAACTCACTGTGAAGCTAAACTACATAAGCCTGTTGGTTAAAACAAATATACCCATCATCTCATCAGTGGATGGCCAAAGACACGCTTCACATTTCACAAACAAGGACAGATAAATGGGGAATAAGAACATGAAAAGACCTACAGCATCATTCATGGTCAGGGAAATGGAAATTATAGCCATGATGAGAGATTACTGCACAGCTATGGAAAAAGGTAATTTCAGCCAGGTGTGGTGAACACACCTGTAGTCCTGGCACTCTGGGAGGCTGAGGCAGATGGATTGTAAATTTGGGCAACTTAGCCACTTAAAGAGACCCTATCTCCAAATAAAAAAAGGTCTGGAATGCAGCTTAGTTTGAAGGTCTTATGTTTAATCTTCAGTATCACAATAACAAACAAATAAGCTGGTAAAATGTTAACTATAACACCTCTCGATAAGTGAATAGATAATGTAGTACCAAATCTCTGTGGTACAGTTCTGAAAAGGAACAAGGCACAACCATAAGATGGACCTCAAGAACATTAGATTTAGTGCAAAAAGTGAATCTCAAAGGCCACATACTGTATGATTCCATTTATACAATGGTCTCAGAACAGCAGAAGTATGAAGATAGAATACAGAGTATTGATTGCCAAGATAGAGGTAGTGGGAAATAAGAGTGGAGAGAGTGACTCTAACAAGGTCTTAAGAGGCAAATCTTTCGGGGGATGAAATATCTCAATATTCTGATGGAGAAGGTAGTTACAGGATGACATCGTACTGTAGTTACCCAAGCTGCAACAACTGGAGAAATCATATAGGATATGGATCTATATGTGCTAACTTTGCAATTTTCCATGAATATATGATTACTTCAAAATAAAAAGTTAAAAATTTTCAGTATTTAAAATGACATGTTTGTCAACTGGGCAAAGCTAAAGAGAGAATCAGCAAGTTTAAATACATTAAAGTATGGAGATTTTTTTAGAGTGATGGAAAATGTCAACAAGCATAAGAGATATTTGGTGCTTAGTAGAAAGCTCTAACATATGTGTAATCAGCATTCCAGAGTACGAGGAGGGAAGAAATGAACAGAAGTAAATTTTGAGAAATCAACAGGTAAGTATTTCCCAAAACTGATGAGACAACAAGTGAGATTCAAAAATTTCTGTGAAACCCAAGCAAAATAAGTGCAAAGACTGACATCTGACATCTCAGAAGAACTCATGGGAGAAGGAAGTCAATAGACCTGTATGTCATTACCACCTTAGAATTCTATACCTAGCAAAACTGTCTTCCAAAATAAAGACATTTTCAGAAAAACAAAGCCAAAGACAATTCATGGCTTCAAACTGACACTAAGAGGAATTATAAAGAGAAATTTTTAGACAGAAGCAAACAATGGCAGAGGAAAATGAGAAAATGGAATGACATAAAACACTTGATTAATCCAAGAAAATTTTTTGAGACAGGATGTTGCTATGTAATTTAGGCTGGCTTTGAACTCACTATGTAACCCAGGCAATCCTCCTGTCTCAGCCTCCTGAGTACTGGCATTACAGGTGTGTGTCACCATGCCTGGCTTTGTAATTTTTATAAAATAAAATGTTCTCATCACTGTATGTGATATTTCCTCTATGGCTTTCATTCTTTAAATCTAAAGGAAGGTATTTTAATAAATTTTATTTTTCCGAGATATTCTAGTGACTCTTCATACTGAAACTACAGGTTCAAAAACTGTAAATTGAATTCTTTCAAATAATACTGAAACTGTACATGGAAATTTTAAGGGTACTCTTCTCCCCTGAATGATTGCCCCTCCAAATCCTTGTTTATTTGAGGAACATTCACTCTGCCATGTCTACAGGGTCCACATCCACAGTTTTAATCAACCATGGATCAAAAATATTTCAAAAATGTGCATCTGTACTGAATATGCAGACATTTTCTTGTTGTTGTCCCTTTAATAAGGCATTGATTATAACAATCGTTTCCGCAGCATTACATTGTACCAGCACCACGAGTAATTTAGAGATTTAAAGTATGCAGGGGAGCACTGTGTGCTTTATAAACAAAACCTACACTCAGCTCATGTTTGTAGGACTTGGGACTCTGTGGTATTTGAGTGTCCTTGGATTTGGCATCTGGGGGTTCCTGGGATGAATCACCCACAAATACTGAGGAACAGCTGCATTTTCTGAACCTCTGCTGAGTCAGGCTCTCCTGGGAGCCGAAGTGGTCCTGTGACTGTCTCTCACAGCGCACAGCTGAGCCCTGCGGTACCTGGCGCTTCATGCCCTGCAGGTCTGGGCCACGGGGATGCCTGTTGTTAAGAGCTCCCCAGGCGACTGACATGCAGCCAGGCTGAACACGAGTGACCCCACAGCAGGCCTGCGATCGCACCCACAGGGCTGCACACTCCGCGTGCGGTCCACCCAGAACACACTTCTGCCGCTCAGCTGAGCCCATGGTCCCTGCTCCCCCTGGAGGGCGCTATGTGGACATCAGGCCCAGAGACTGGCATGGGGATGTCTCAGGGTCTACTGAGGACTTCCGGGCCAGGCAGCCACCCTGCTGTTCACTTCTAACTGGGTTCACTCCTCAGACATCCCTTGCCACTGACCACTTTAGAAAGGGCTGTCACAGGACGGCCACCTGTTGTCCTTCCTGACAACAGGGGAAACAAGACTCCATGGCTCAGGAGAATCCCCAACCGCAGCCTGGGGTGGCGGTGCCCGCCTGTCATCCCAGCACTCTGGGAGGCTGAGGCAGGAGGGTCACAAGCTTGATCGCAGTCTGGGTAATTCTGCAACTTAGTGAGGCCCAGTCTCAAAATAGAAAGGGCTGGGATGCAGCTTAGGCCTAGGGACAGCACAGCAGCCTGCAAAGCGGCTCTGACACATGTGCACGCACACGCTCACACACACACACACACACACACACACACACACACAAGTGCCAGTGAGGGCTGGAGACTTACGAAGAAGGGAATCAGGCCGCTTGCCTTGTCTCGCTCCAAGGCCTCCTGCAGGGCGGAAGCTCGCATGGCGAAGTTGCCGTCTGAAGGGATGGCTTTTAGTTTCACCCCACCGATGAGTCCGGCCCTTTCCACCGAGGAGTGTGCCTTGAGCAAGCGGGAGATGGGAGGTGCATGTGTAAATGCTGAGGAGAGACACAGGTTTTCTGTGCTTGTCTTTATTGCAGTATTGGGATTGAGCCCAGGACGGCAGCCCTGAGCCCCATCATCAGCCCTTCTTTTATCTTTTATTCTGAGGTGGTATCTCTCCAAGTTGCTAAGTTGCCTAGCCTGGGCTCAAACTTGGGATCCTCCTGCCTCAGCCTCCCAGAGTGCTGGGATCATCAGCGTGTGCCTCTAGGCCCTGCTTTTTCTTTTCTTTGTATATTTTTGATCTGTGGTTGGTTGAACCCTCATGGGCCTGTAGACTTGGATTTGGATACTGCACTGCGGCAGGATGGTGATTTACCCTCCTCCAGACGACCAGCGCAGTTCCTCTCCCGGAAGCCCCCACCTTGGGCACTGTGTCCTAGCCTCTTACCTGGTCCTAACCGCCCTGTGGGGGGCTTTCCTAGCCACTCTGGAGACAGAGGGCCCCATCAGGCTTCACAGCCCTGGGCCCAGTCCAGGCCTTTCCGGGGTGCTGCCGGTCCTCTGTTCATGGCCCTTGTTCCAGTGAGAAAATGGAAGCACCCGGCCCAGAGGAAGCCGTGACAAACAGTGACAAGGCCTCAGCACCCTGGCCTAGAAGAGGCAGGAGGCCGTGGGTCTCCTCTTTGCTTGCTAGGATGGAAAATCCCTGGTGAAACTCGTGCCCCCAGGAAGCTGGTCTTTCCCTGATCTTTGTCCAAGGAAGAGGCGGGACGGGTTTGTGAGCCCACGAAAGACCCGGCTGCTGGCATCCTAGTCCCCGAGGCCCATCCTGGGCAGGGGCAGCAGTGGGCCTGACTGGGCGGCGAAGCTGCACTTTGCAGGCCCCAGCACAGCCCATGCGGCTGACGCAGGTGCTGTGGGCACTGCTGACGGTGCCCAGCACGGGATGGGCCACTGTACACACCCACAGGGCCAGGGCCACTCACGGAGGGTCCAAGTCACACAGCAGAGCGTCCTGCACTGCACTGAGCTGGGCCTCCTGGGAACACAGCTCCTCTTTCCTCCCCTCCGGACCCAATCCCTGGCCAGGCCCAAGGAGCCCCAGGGACTGGTGTCCCCTTGGGAGATGTGGGCACAGACCCCGTGTCACGCCCCTGTTGCACCCAGCTCCTGGGAAACCTGGTGGGGGCCCAGAGAGCAGGGGAAGGCGACCCCAGCATCCCTAGCATCTGTCTCAGCTGGGCCCTGCGAGGCTGTGTTCTTGGTTTGGTTGCTTTTTTAAGCTCCCGGGAAACAAGGGAGGCATAAAAGCGAAGAGCGATCTTCTCCATGGTAGTGGAACCCTAATGCACGGAGTCAGGACACGCAGAGCTATAATCCTCCCAACTAAGCCCTGAAATGTGGGCGCTGCATTTGTTCCAGGCTAACTGGCACAGCCACGCACATGGGCTAAGGAACTCACTGCAGACAAGTGGGTTGGCAGAGCTGAGCCAGTGACTCCCTGTGAAGTCCACCTTCCTAGGCATGGCTCAGTTTACCCTTCGTGCTGTCTCGGGAATGTTTTCTTGTGGGATTACCCCTTACACTGCCCAGTCCCCTCCCCCTGGCTTTCTCACACACCTCTGGGTGTCCTGTTGCTGTTTACTATTTTCCAACGGTTTACCAGGGGAATCCTATTCGAGCCCTCTGCCTTCAGTTTCCTTACCCTTGCGAGCAAATCCAGTCCTTCGTCCTAGGCCCAGCCCCAGTGAGGCTGAGCAGCTACACCAGAAGGGTGCTTCGACCCCCATCTGATGGTAAAGAAGGCAGCGGCCCAGAGATTCGAGTGATTTGCCTGACAGCCCGAGGGTGACAGCAGCACTGGGGTTGGAGGCGGAGGCTCAGCCCCACGTCCACTTCCTCTGCGCTGCTGCTGGGAGTGGGGCCGGGAAGCCCATGCTGGTGGGAACCAAGCCTATCATCTTTTCCCTAGCCTCCCCGAGGAGCTGTTCTTGGATCAGAAAGGATGCTGAGCTTATTTGGATTCAATCTCTCGAGCTCAGGGCTCAGGCCACCCCCTACCCGCCCCTCTCACCTGGTCGGATGAGTAGGCCACCAGCCTCTCCATGATGGCGGCCTGTGTCAGCTCCGGGAAGGTGGCCTGCAGCTGTCGGGTCACTTTGGTCCGAGCAGCCAATAGGGCCACCAGCGTGGCTTCACTGGCACTCCCCTAAATCCAACAGAAAGATCCAAATGAGACCCAAGACATGCTGTAATCCCAGCCCTCAGAAGGCTGAGGCAGGAGGATCCCTGTGAGTTCAAAGCCAGCCTGCACTACATCGGGAGATCTTGTCTCAGAAACTCACAGTGCATCGAAGGATTCAGTGTCTAAACTGTGGGAAGACATATTATTTCCTATCCATGGTTTTCTTAAAAGATGAACCTAAATTGCAAAGATCACTTGTTTTTGCACAGGAATAATCTAACTCTTGGGGAGGCAGACTTTACTCTGGAGGATTTCTTTCAGTCCCTTATGAATTGCAAATTGCAAATCCACACACTGAGGCCTCTCTGAATGTAACTGCATTTGCAAACAGGATCTTTGAAGAGATCATTCGGTGAAAAGGAGGCCTTCGGTGTTGGCCAGAGCAGCCCAGGCCGGTGCACAGCTAGGAGAAGAAATTTGGTCCCCACTACAGAGGACGCAGAGGGAAGGTGGCCTTGCGCAAGGCACAGAGAGGCCCCGGCAGGAGCCACCCCACTGCGCCTGCCCTGGACACGGAGACTGCGGATTTGCACTGTGGAGCCCCACAGCCCTGGGCTTTGTCTCGGGGATGCCAGCAAGGACTGCGGAGAATGCCACCGCTTATTCCAGCCCAGTAGCTCAGAGTGTTCAGATTCATCCTTTGAAGTTGCACATGAGAGAAACAGGGATTTAGCGCTTGCTCTCCACGTGGCCCCTTTTAATTTACAAAATAATCGATCCCATTTGAAGATATCTGACAAACGAAAGAAGACTGTTGTGTTCTGACTGTGAAAAAGGTTTATAAGATAGTGCTGCAGAGAAATGCACCACGCTAAGTAGAAATGCTAACTTCTATTAACATTTTTTGGTAGTGCTGGGATTGAGCCCAGGACCTTCACATTGTGCTACACCCCCAGGCGTGTTTAATTTTTATCTTTACATCAATACAGGGTCTCACTAAGTTACTGAACTGCCCGGGCTGGCTCCAACTTGGGGTCCTCCTGCCTCAGCCTCTCCGAGTGCTGGGATCACAGGCGTGGCGTGCACCCCCATTTTATCCTCCTTCCATTAATCCTGATTTCCTATTCCAATTTTTACTAATTTACTGCATTCCCTATTATTTTCAACTAACTCATATTCCTTGGGGAAATGGGTAAGACTTGGGATAAACACATTTGCTCCCATTACCGAAGCTCTAACACAGGAGTTTGAATAGATCCATGCTCCTCCGAATTCAGCATCTAACACAATGTGTCTGTATTCCCTTCAGGTTGTGTTTTTTGCATTTCCTTCGGGTTTTGTTTTGATGAGCAGCTATCTTAGAGGGGTTTAGACCAAGAGAAGGAAACTGGATGACAAAGTGAAATGAAATCCAACCCCTTGCCCTGAAGGCAGGTGCTGTATTCTACGTTTCTTACTAGCACCCCAGTATCCCTCCCACGCCTCTTCTTCATGCCCCTCCCACAGTCTGTTGGCCAATGGTTCAGCCACCAAAGAATGCACCAGACTGAGGGCTGGGCTCTGTGCTCTTGCCCTCAGCCCTCAGCTGGGCCCAAGGCTGCCACCTAACTCTGCCCTGAAGCCTAGGACTCCAGTCCCACTCTGTCTACACCACAGTTTAACAAGAGGCTTCGAGCCACTCGCCCACTCGTGAGGGGCTTGGGACCGACCGGATGACTGTGTCTGGACAAAATGCTCCCGTTTAGTCAGCTCCCGGTGGCTTTCAAAACAACAAGCCAGACACAACTTGGCAGCTGACGCCCCAGAGGCGCCAGGCCTGAGGCAACGAGAGTCGGGAGGAGTGCACCCTGGGGTGTCCATGTCCTCTGCTGCCAGCTGAAGAGGGGGGCTTCTCTTTGGTAAGAGAAGTGGCCACTCCTGCCCAGCTGTTGCTTCAGGACAAAGGTTGCCATGGCAAAGCGTTGGGGGCTGGTGAGGAGGCTGGTGGAGCCAGGGGCAGCAGCCACTTTTGTCATCTGATTGTCTCAAGTGTCACCCACATGTGGAAGAAATTGGCGTCTTTTCTTCCACACAAGCTCTCAAACCCAATTAGAGCCTGCTCCTGCAGGCCTTGCCTGTCCAGCCATACCAGGAGCACTTGCCCTCTGGTCCAAACACTGTCACGTGCAGATGACAGATCCGTGGGATTGATAAGGTTGCAGGCTCCGACTGTCCCCAGCTCACAGATGGAGGGTGGCGGCCCAGTCAGCCCTGTCTGCCCAGGTGGGGGCAACATGGGAGCCAAGGCTGAGAGATAATTTAACCCAGGGACAAGCTGGGTTAGCACCAAATCTCCTTCGTACCAGTTACTGTTGTTGTTATTCGCAGTACTGGGGACTGAACCAGCTGCATCTCAGCCCCCTTTTTTAAAATTCTTTATTTTGAGACAGGGTCTGGCTAAGTCACTAAGATGCCTAAGTTGGGCTCAAACTCGATAGCCTCCTGCCTCAGCCTCCCAGAGGGCTAGAATTACAGGCCTGTGCCACACACCCAGCTAGTCTTGTTCTTAATTCACTTTTGACCTTGATCATTCTATACTATCTTTCTGAGCCTCAGTTTTCTCATCTATGGAAAACACTGTCAATAATACAGTCAATCCTCATAAATATTTTGAGGATGAAAAAGTGATGATATAAACCATAAGAAATGGGTGAAAACATGGGGGAGTCCACAGATGTCCAACAGCAGCAGCTATGATTATAATGGGTCCCCTTGGTTACACGGCACTTGTAAAATCCTTTGCAAAGTATCCAATTGGAAGAGTCACCCTGGGGTGCTGAAAAGAACTGAATCTCACATTATGTTTCCAGTAGCAGCCAACTATTCAGAAATGCTCTCCTTTGTCCTTGTGGGAGCCGGTTTTACTTTGGTGGCATGCGCCTGTCTCCGGAGCACACAGCCAGAGGAGCCTGGGAGGGAGCTTCTAATCCTAGCAGATGGCCCCACCTCATCTGAAAGGTCACCCTCTGAAATGGGATTAACAGGAGTGGAGATTTCAATCCAGCAAAAAGTACCTTCAGTATTATTTATGTAGGTTGTGACGTGTCAGAAAACCATATGGTTGTAATATTCTCAAAGAAGATTTAAACTTTGGAAAATGTTCAGAATAAAATAAAATGAAGCACTGTACAGAAAACCGTCTGGATTTGGCTGCCTCAGTTCGTTTTACAGGAACATCTATCTCAGCCTCACACTGGGCACATCCGGGGGTCTCCGGGCCAGGCTGAATTAGAATTCATCTCCTCGGGCGGGACCTAGAGCCAGGGAATCTGCCCATAATGAGCTCTCTGACTGTTGCCCGCTGCATCAGTGGGCACGAGGACACACCAGCGTGCCCGAGGGTCCCAGGCCCATGATGCTGACCTCTGGGGGGAATGACTCTGTGATGGGATTGTGCAGAGAATCTGAACTTGGAGAGATCACCCAGATTACCAGAGTGCACCCAACTGAACACGTGGGTTCCTACATGCGAAATCCAGTTTCCATCTGCACTCAGAGAAAGAGAGGCCATGGGAGGAGGGTGGGAGAGAAAGGCAGGGCTGGCCTTGCAGGTGGAAGTGGGACAAGGGCTGAAGATTTCCAGAACCCTTAGAAGCTAGAAAGGATGAAGAAATGGATTCCCCCTTGGGTCTGCAAACTGCCAAGCTTGACTGGAGCCCAATCAGGCCCAGGTCAGACTTCTCACCTACAGAACGGTAAGATGATAAACCGTCTGAAAGCCGCTAAAGCCAGATGTAGGGCTGCACCCTGGGAGGCTGAGGCAGGAGGATAGCAAATTGGAGCCCAGCCAGGGCAACTTAGCAATTTATCAATATCCTATCTCAAAATAAAGGGAACAGGGATGGAGCGCGGTGCAAAGGCCTTGGATTCAATCCCCAGTACTGAAACAAAAGAGCACTAATATGTGTCACAGCAATCACAGAAAAGTAAGAGCAGACAGGAGTTCAGAGACCCTGGTGTTGCTGAGTCTCAGGACCGGAAATGGCAGCAGTGCTGCGGGGTGTGGCTTGGCCACTGCAGCCAGGGGGCCTTGGGAAAGGCTGTCCCAGTCTGCGCCGCTGGGTGCCTGTGAGGAGAGCGCAACACAAGGCTGCCGTGACTGATTGGCACCTCCACATCGGAAACTGTCCTGAGAGAAGAATCCCTTTTCCCGGAAGGGGGCAGCGCTCTGGGCGTGGGATCTGTACTGAAGATGGGAAGGATGGCAGGGGCAGGGGTCCCTGCAGCTCACCCTCCTCGCCGGCACATTTTGTACAAAACGCACCAAGTCCAAGTCACCGCAGGGACACCTGTCCTGCAGATCCTGGTGGGACAGAAAAGCTGTCACACGGTCCTCTGCATCCTCAGCAGATGCAAGCAAGAAGAGCTCGCGTCCACGCCGCAGCCACAGGGAGGGGACTGGCTCTCAGACATGTGGCACTCAGAGCCATGAGCCTGGCTGCCACTGTCCCCTGCGGTGAGTAGGGGCTCCCTGGCAGTGGTGAGATCGAAGGGCTGAGTCACAGCTACTGTGAGTTACCAGCGGGGAGACACAGGGCAAGTTATCTGATGTTCTGTGCCTCAGTAGCCTCTCCTGCAAAATGGGGCTTGAAAGCACAGGGAATGCAAAGAGTCTGGAGTGTGGGGGTTCTATGGCTGGCACCAGGGGACCCTGCTCAGATGGTGGCCAGATTGCTCCGAGCCACCAGGACCAGGGGCCCCAGGAGGGGACGGGTCCAAATCCAGCTCCGCCCAGTCTGGGGACAGCTGGCCCCAGAGCGAGTTGGGCTGATGTTCCAGGAGAAAGACAAGGATCCATGGAGCCGAATCCTGGGCTCCCGCCCCACCTGTGTGGGCCACAGCCCCTCACCTGGATCACGCCTCCACCCATGCCCGCAGACCCAGCCAGGAAGGCATCCGGCAGCTGCAGCATCTTCCCCAGCCAGTCCATCATCACCGTCTCCAGCTCCGTGCACGCTGGGCTGGCTGCCTGCAGGAGGGGTGAGCCAGGGGGAAAGGGGCCTGAGGGCCGAGCCCTCTGCCACCCCACTCCCCCGATCTAAGAAAAACCAAGTGTTCCAGAGCCAAATGGAGGATGGATGATGATGGAAGGGAGGGAGGAAGAGGTGGGGAGGGAGGGATCCGGGGGCAGAAAGGACCACGATGCCACGGATGCAGGTCCCGACCCTCCGAGGATGCAACCATTACCTATTCTACTAACAGGACACTATATTGTTAATTAAATTTCTAAAACATTAAACATTTAAACATTTTTAAATTGAAGAATTTAAAAATCTTTCTGAAATTCCCCTCCTGGGGGAAGGCTCTGAGTGGCAGCTGTGCTGTGACCATGTCTTCCAAACACGTGTGTCAGAGGCCAAATCCCCATGGGAGGCTCTTGGGGTGGGTCCTGTCAGGGGTGGGCCTGGGGAAACCCCACGACCCCTCGAGGCTGGCATCGCAGCAGTGGCTCGTGACAAATGGCGGGACCCTTCCTCTCTGCCGCTTACTTCCAAGTCTCTCCATCTCAGGGCCTCCCTCTCAGGCGAGTCCTTCTCTCCTCCCTGCCAGGTGGCCCTGCTGCCCACAGGTGGCCCTGCCACCCTGTCCCGCCCAGGGCCACGGGACACTCACCCAGGAGAAGCCGATGCAGCCGATGGCCCCACACAGCATGTCCGCCAGCAGGGCCGGGTAGGAGCTGGCCGTGGGGAAGTAGGCGAAGAAGTAGGGGCTGTGCCAGTGAGTCACCTGTGGAGGCGGCTGTCACTCGGGCAGGCACCTGGGCCCTGCTCCTGGCTGCCTGGTGTGGGTCCCCTCCGCCGCCCCCCCCCACACCGGGAGGGTGCAGCATCCACACCCAGCTTGCTGTCCCCATGCACATGGAGTCCTTTTTCCAGCCCTGAAGGAAATGCTCCCTCCCCCAGTGTAGGGTAATCATTCTCACTAGCCACAGGCATGGGCCGAGCAAACCACGTCTCTAAAAATGGCACTGTTCTGTCCCTGCCAGGTGCTGGGGTCCGCACTGCTAGCTGGGTGTCCACAGCTTGCTTTTCCCAAGCTCTGAAAACTAAGTCTAGATTTAAAAGTAAAACGCCTGATTTCTTAGGTTTCTGCATTTCAGGTCCCACCACCTGCTCCTTGCCCTGCTGTGTGAACTGCTCCCCGCAGCCCAGCCCCTCCATAAGCCCTGCGCCCTCCCATCTCCCTGTCCCCAATCAGGCCACTGTCACCAGGCCAGAGTTCACCCAACACAGGCTGAGTTTGCCTCGGCCACATGGAAGGCAGCAGTCAGTGCTTCCAGCCACTCGGGGCGGGGGGCAGGGGGGGCAGTCTCAGGCCCTGCTAACCCTGACCTGAGTGGGAGCTGCACTCACCCCCGGCATGATTATCCTCTCAATGTCCCCCAGGATGTCCTCATACGCCTCTGGCTCCTCCGGGGCACTGCTGGGGATCAGTGTCCTCAGGTAGCCGGGCTCCACTGCGGGGTAGACCGGGCGCCTCTCGATGCCTTCCAGGTAGTCAGCCATGTAGTCGACCATCTCCTTCCCTCTCCTTCGGAACTCACTGGTGTTCATGGTCACGGGGTTCAGGCCAGGCAGAAACTGCAGAGAGGAAATCAGAGGCCCAGGAATTCCCAACAAGCGAACAGCAAGGGCCACCTGGGCTGGAGGCCATCCTGAGCCCAGTGAGGCCACTCTCCTTCTGTGTCTGGATGAGTGACAAGGCCCCGGGTTTGGACATTGCCACTGCACCTCCAAGGGGGGCGCTGCCTCTGTCGGTGCCACTTCCTGTACTGGTGCCATGTGACCGAAGTGCACAAAGCATTCATGGCGAGATCCAGCACTGAGGATGCCTCGTCCAGGTTCTGCGGGCTCCGCTGCTGCCCCTTCGAAGCTGTGTTGAGGCCAGAGGGAGAGAAGAGGGGGGCCGCTGCAGCCACAGGGAGGACGGGCCAGTTCTGACAGCCGGGGCCAGGCAGGGAAAGACAAGTGTGTGCGTGCGCTATGGGCTTAGGGGTGGGAGATGAGCCCTCCATGAAGGGCGCCCACCCAGGGTGACCACGTCATGCTAGGGCTCATTCGCTAGAGAATCCACTATGCACCCCAATGTGACCCCAATTATAGCTCATGATAACTTCATGTTCATTGTGCTTCTGACCCCCCATGGGCTTTGGGGGCCAAAACAGCCCCCCAGAGGTCCACAGGGGGCAGAAACTCCCTGACAGCCAAGAGGAGGAGACTCGTCCCTCTGGAATTAGTCACTGCTCCCGCCCTGCATGAACTGCACACAGATCGGCCACTGTGTCTCGGGACTTGAACTACCGTTCCTGGCTGCTCCCACCTAGGGGAGTGCATGGGTCTTCAACCTTACTAATAAATCCATGCTTTCATTTCTACTTCTGTGCATCCTGCTCAATTCTTGGTCAGAACGCCAAGAACCTACAACTATCACAAACCCAATGTCCACTGATTTGCAGTGGGGTGACCTTGATATGGTACACTCTCAGCATCCCTCCATGCCCTCCATTATCCATGCTGTGACATTTGACAATGTTTTGTGATGTTAAAAATGTTTTTTAAAAAAGCATTCACCTGACTTGCTAAAAATGTCAGGACAGATCTGATTCAAGGCTGGTGCAATAGGAAGGGAAGACAGACTGATCTCAGCTTGCAATACAGCAGAGACGGATGGGGACTACAGCTAAGGGTTTGCTGGAGGAACAGAGCTGATAGGATCCATGCACAATTATAAGGAGGGGGTTTAGCAGATTTGCTCACTCAATCAGAGGCTGGAAGGTGCACAAGGGCCAGCTGTAGGCTGGGGAGCTGGAGGACCAAGAAGCTGGAATCCACAGAACATGAAGTACCAAAGATGCAGCCCCAGTCCAGGGCTGGAAGCCTGGGAGCTCCCTGGAGAGTTGTTGGTATGGAAGTGGAAGTCTGAAATCCATGGGCAATGGCAGCACCAGCAACAACAACAACAAAAACCCACTCCAGTAGAATTGAGCTTGCTTCCCTCCAGGCCCCCAGCCCATTGGACTGTGCTGCCCATATTCACAGCAAGTTGGCCTTCTCCATTGGCTGACCCACATGCCAATCATCTCTGGAGCCCCCACAGGAACCCAGGGGGCACTTGACTAATTTCCTGGGCTCTTTCAATCCAATCAAGTTGAGATCCAAGATTAACACTCAGCAGGGAACTAAGAGGCCTGGCTTGGCATCAAGGGTGGGAGGGGGCAGAGCTGGGTTGGACACCGAGGCCTGAAGCCAAACTGGCTCTCAGGACTCTCCTCACACCGGCCCAGCAGCCAGATGGGAAGCGGGCGAGAGGAGCTTGCCGCTGGGTCTCCAAGCATCCTGAGCCCTGGAGGATTTGCCAGAAATGAGGCTCTTCTCTGGCCTTGTCTCGCCGTCCTAATGCAGAGGGTTCTAGGCCCTGTGAAGGATGTATAGGCGATCACAGATTACTTCAAGGCCTGCTTGGACCCAAGCTCCGATCAAGACTTGTTTGGTGCGCATTTCCAGCCAGGGTGAGCTTGGGTGACAATGATGGGGACGTAAGACCTTGAATTATGGTGCCCGAGCGTGCCAACCAACAGCAGAGAAAAACCAGCCCGCCTGAACTTCCAATGCATCTTCGGCTTCAGAAACCAAAGGCCTAAGAGGGTGCTGCTGCCAGCAAAAATGTCACAGTGCTGCTTACCTCAAATTTTGCAGTAAGAGTGAAGCTTTGTTTTCACCTCACGATGGAGATATCTGGAGGTGCCATGCCTGGAACCCATTCTCACAGTGCGCCTCTCACTGCCAGCTCACTTGCTCTGCACTTCGGTTATGAGCGCCTGTCCCTGGCTGTGAGTGCTTCTCTGGTGTGGTTTCTCCAGGCTGCGACTGCCTGACGCAAATGGGATGCACCCCCAAGCTGGGCCATCCCCAGTGTCCCCTAGGGTAGGGGCAAGAGTGGGTGGGCCCCGGGCGCTCAGAGGAGCTCAGAGTCAGACACCACTCAGGTTCACTAGCCCTACAACCTGCAAACATTCCACCATGCCAGCCTCCTTTTTAGCTGAAACAAACATCGCACCGATTACACTGTTTCAAGAAAGATAGCGTTGAGTTAATTAAGCACACAATCACCCATCCGTGAATGTCTATGACTGTGTCCTGCCTTCCCTGAAGTTTGGCTTTCCCAGATTCGTTACTCAAAGTCAACCCTGGTCCAAAAATATTAAATGGAGATTTCTGGAAATAACATTTCCTAACGACCAAGTGCAGCACTGTTCTGAGGAGCAGATGAAATCTCACGCCCTCCAGCTCCACCCCACCCAGCACTTGAGCATCTGTGTCCTGTGAGTGCATGCTGTGTCAGCCCTCCACCCAGTAGTGACTTAACTGGTGTCGCCATGTTCATTACCTGTATTCAGGTAACCGTTATTTTACTTAATCTGGTCATTGTTCTATCTTATTCATACTTAACCGCTGATAATCTCTCACTGTGCCTGATTTATAAATTAAACTTCAGCATAGTGATGTTTGGATAGGGAAAGACATAGGATACAAGGGTCCATTATTATCCTTGGTGTGAGGCATTTACTGAGGGTCTTGAAATTGTGAGGGTCTCCCTTGGATAAAGGGACATTATTGTTTTTTCTTTTTCAGTGTTAAAGATGAACTCAGGGCCTTCCCACTGAGCTACATTCCCAGCTCTTCTTATATTTTATTTTGAGACTAGATCTCAATAAGTTACTCACACTGAGCTCAAACTTGCCATCCCTCTGCCTCAGCCTCCCAGAGTGCTAGGATTACAGGCGTGCACCACCATGCCCAGCTAGATATTCCTTATTTCATTGTAAGAGTCAGTGTATTACTATTTCCACCCTATATCTGTGACATATTTTGCAGGAATTTTCTTCTTTTTTGCTTGTCTTAATTTTGGTTATGACTTTGTTCTGACTTCTAAGAATGTTAATTTTGATATGGCAAAATCTCCATCTTTTCCTGATGATTTGGAGCTTATGTGTGACTCTGAGATATGCCTTTTTAAACTGGATGTGGTGGTGCATGGCTGTAATCCCAGCACTCTGGGAGGCTGAGGCAGGAAGACTGAAAGTTGGGAACTTAGCAATTTAAAGAGATCCTATCAAAAAAAAAGGTAAAGGGGCTGGGGATATAGAAAGCCCCTGGGTTCAACCCCCAGTACCCCCAGTACCAAAAAGAAAAAAGAAATGGCTTTTTAAGTAAATATTCTAGTGACCTTGACTCCAGCTGTGTTTGTACCCAGCGGAAGGCAAAGTGCCTGCTGTGCTGAAACCTCAGCAGAATGCTATGCGGAGTTAAGCCAGATGCCAGGGACACGGCAGGGCTGGGTGCAGCCAGGTGTCTGAGCTATGGAAAGAAACCCACCAGGCCCCACACCAGGAGCCCTGCAATCCCTTCTCACTCCTGGGCCATTTGCTTGCAGACCGACTCCTCGCTGGACCTCTCCAGAGAGCCTGGGAGCGGCTTGATGCTCCAGGCCCTGAAGCGGAGCAGACATAGCTGGAAGATGCAGGCTGTGATAAGGCAGAGCCCCTGTGTCTCCCTCCAATCCCCATAGTGGGTGCTTCCTGTGTCTGCTCCGAAGTGTTCCTCTCCCTGGCTTTCTGCCTCTTTATCTTTTTTTTTCTTTTTGCGGCACTGGAGATTGAAGCCAGGGCTTCACCCCGAGCTACATCCCAGCCCTTTTTATTTTTTATTTATTTATTTTTTGTATCTGTATGGTTTTTATTATTTCCAAACAAGAAAACCATCCTCATCATTACCAACACCAGCCCAGTCAGTATTTCATTGCTTATACTTATCAGTGGATATACTTGTTTATCATAAGAATCAGTACACACAAATGTTGCTTTTTCAGTATTTAATATATAGCAATCATCTATTTGAGAGTCTGCAATTATCCCTTGGTCTGGGGATTTTATAAATTAAAAGAATGCCTACCATTTATATATAAGAACATTCCAACTGCAGCTTTTTGCATCTTTTGTATCTCTGTTCAAAGGGTTGTCTCCGCTATTTACCACTATTAAATGGCAAGGCATTTTTCTACTTTTAGGGGTCTGGCTTACAGTGCTTCATCCTCAAGTTTAATTTCCTTTTAATATTTGTTTTGGAGTACATTTTCAGTATTAGTTTTGGCATTCCAAACAAGGAGATGTTATCTTTCTATTTTTATTGTGTGCATTATGTCATGTTCTCCATCATTTAGAAACTTTTTCAGTTAATCTTTTTAATTTCCCATTTACTTTGTCGTTACTTATAGACAATTCAGTCCAGTATGTTAATATGCTTTATCACTTATCTTATATTCTATCTCTGCTTGTTGAACTCCCTCTTCTCTCCACTGTGCATGTTGAGATTATTTGGGCTAAGCAACAGATCCTCCCTTAATAACCAATTTAAAGCCAATTTAATGAGCCCCGTCAGTTCTGAACACGACAGGGAGTTGGGTATCCCAACTGGTTAAGTGGAGACTACAATAACTTCCATGATGAGGACATCTGTTTAGAGAAATCAGAGTTCCATAAACCCCAAACTTGCGCCCCTGTACCACTGATGCACCCATCCTGGGTGCTGATCTTTATGCTCTTCCTTTGTAACAGCGAGCTCTTTGGGATGATCCCTCTCTTCATGTCCTCCTTGGCAGGTGTAAAGCAAAGCACACAAGTTGAAATCATGAAACGTCCATTGTAGTTTTGTTCTTTTTGACACATGATGCTCTTTTTCATCAAATTATCTGAGTTGGTGTTTTTTCTTCTGTTTTTATGCATTTTCACTGGAATATAATATCATAATGAAATTTACGTGGCCTCATTTCTGTCCAAATCCCTGTTG